ACCCCTGGCGCGGGCTCCCGGCCCCGCCCCCGTTGTGCCGGCGGGGGGTTTCGTTCGGCTGCTGCACTTTCGGTATTTCACGTGTTCGGGATAAGCCCCTTCCTTTCAGAAAACGAGCGGGTATGTTCTCGGAGTTTTGTTTTGTTTTTTTCCCCTGTCTTTGGAAGAAAGGTAACAGTGTTTCCGGTCTTTTTAGTATTGATTTGGTGTGAAAATTGGTAGGCCGCTGCTTAGTTAAGTCCGTACTGCTGTTTCGCGATTCTGGCCTTAATTCGAATGCTAGACTTTTTAAAACAGATGTGCAGATAAAAATGAGTGTTCTTTCAAAAAATGAGTGTGGGTGTTTCACAGGTGTCTTACAGATTAATGTCGAAATCTTGGCTGTATTTTTTTGTCGTGTTACTCGTTCTGGAAATTATTGTTGAAGTTTTAAATTAAAAAGAGAAAGTGTAGTGTGAGATCAGGTATAAAAGATAGTGGAGCAAAGATAGTCATGTGCTCTTTGGGAAAGTTATTGGAAAAGTGGAAATTCAAGTATTAGTGTCAGAAAACATGCATTATCCATCATGTTGAGAATTTTATGATGTTACTTAAACTCTGAACAGGAAATTGGGAATTCTCAGTGACTCTGCTGTTGTGTGTATTAAATCATTGATCTTTCTGTACATTTCTGATTAACAAATCAGTTGGTCAAAGTTAGTCATAATCAGATACTTGCTGAGTGTCAGCATATTTCATGACTTTGTACCTAAAATATTTTCACATGACTATTGCTGTTTTCAAATTGGTCTCTTACCTTTAATTTCTAGGGAAAGTTCACTTGTACAGTTGGGATGCAGCTATCAGTTTGCATGAGATGTAGAGTTCTGGGAAGATGTACATATATTTTGAACGGAAATTTGACTTGCTTTACTAATGGACAAACTTTTGTAATACATACAGAAATACATATTTTGCTGTTACTTTTCTTTTTTTTTTTTTTTTTTTTTGTCTTTTGTCTTTTCTTCTGGTACCAGGAATCGAACTCACGACCTTGCGCTTGCCAGGCAAGTGCTTTGCCGCTGAGCTAAATCCCCAGCCCCTACTGTTACTTTTCTCATGACACGTTGCTTGTAAAATGGCAGAAAATAAGAGTGATAACATTTGATGGTTGTAATCATTTTATTACTGGGGTATTTGAGATACTTTATTTAATTGTAGTGTAATTTTTATAGTCCCACAAGTTACTAAGAATTTCCACTGACTTTAAAATACGTTATTCTCTTGAGATAATCTTTTTAATGCACTTGGGAAAAGATAACAAAGACAAGAGCTGGCATTCTCCTGGTTTCCGTTTTTTTCCCTTAAAGCATGGGTAGTAGCAGTTTCCTCCTAACTAGGGCGGCTCCTGGGGAGTTGTTTATCCAGGAGTGTGCTGGGTGCTCTGAACTCAGAGGGATCTTTTCCCTGTATTAGAAGCTGCTGTGTTAACACAGGTTTATCCCTTGCCTTCCTCCTTTCAGCTTGCCACTTACTAATCATTTTCTTCCAAAAGGAAATACAAAGTTACAATAGAGTGGTTGTTAGGTTGTTACCTTTTGTGGCCTTCCAGATGTGAACAGTGCTGTAGTTGACTCTCTTATTTCCCGAGTTGGTTTTCATTGGTTTGTTTGCCAGGAAACTTCAGATTCTTTCCGGTATTTGCAGGGATGATGTGATGTGCTGTGGACTCATAAAGGTCCAAAAGGCCTGGTCGTTCAAAAAAACACATATGAGTAAAAGAATAAAAACTTTCTGAAGTAATGACATGTTTTGCTTTAGTGGGATTTCACAGGAGATTATAACAAGTGCTTATCAAATAATCCCAGTGAAGCATGTCAGTCGTATGGAAACTCAGAGCTGCTGTAACACTAAATTTAAGGTCATTAGTAGCTTTTCTGTGACCAAACATGAATACTCTAATGATCTTAAAATAGTAACTAAGTATAGTTAGATAAAGGAAAGAATTTAACTCACCTTTCAAGAAAATTTTGCTTCAGTAGATATAATGCTTCACTGTATTTTTCTCTGCACAGCAAAGGAGAGGGCAGGTGAAGTCCGCAGAATTGAATTTCCAGATGGGTGTTGCCTTTGTCACACACGTGACTTTTAGGAGCTTGGAGGTACTTTGTTTACAAGCCCACAGTTCTCCGCGGTGGAGCGGAAAGGCTGCTATCAGTGGCCTGAACTTGGGTTCTCACACTTGCTTAGCTGTGAGAGTTGACCAGGGTTCTTGTTAACAATCAGGGCCCTCCTAGAAAGGGGTTCTTGGATTTAATGGCCTTTACAGGGACACCAGCATTGGGAATTGTCTGTATACATCCTAGGAGATTCTAAAATGTCTCTCCAAGGACACTCAGCACCATTTGGAAATAGTACCAAGTGCCACTACTCATGGGTAGGAGACAAAAGCATACAGTGCTTTATTTTCCCTGTCAGGCTCTTCAGTTCTTCAGCACCATCGTGTTCTTAACAATAGAAATAAGATATTTCTGTTTTTAGAAGGGACAGTTGCATAAAATAAATTTTAACAGAAAGTATAAGAATGTAATTGTGGAGCCAAATAACAAAACCTTTAAACATTTAAAAGAGATCCTTTCAAAGTGGAGAAAGGTCTTATTTTCCAAGTGAGGGTCTTTTTTACACTATTCAGATTGTTTGTAATTGATGTCAACTCTATTGTCTGTCACAGGCTTTGATTCCCATGGTGTTAATGAGTAGAAAAAATCATGAATCATTTTAAGATTGCCAGGTAAATGGCAATGAATTATGAACACAGGGTAGGACTTTCTAAAAGCTTCATTATATATTGAAGAACTTTGTATTTGATAGTTTCTTTTTTCTCTTAGTAGGATAACAGTAGTATTAAAAAAATTCTAAGAAATGTAAGTGCCTGCTGTGTTAGGGCAGCACTAAAGGCATTTTATTAGGGGTTGAGAACATAGGATAATAGCGTTAAGAGAAGTTTTTAAATCAGTAGCAAAAGCATAGATACCAGAAAAGAAGTACAGCTTGGTGTGCTGGCGCATGCCTGTAATCCCTGCACTTGGGAGGCTGAAGCATGAGGATCACTGTGAGTTCAAAGCCAGCCTGGGCTACATAGTGGTGAGACCCTGTCTCAAAAAAAAAAAAAGTATCAATAAATGAAAATATAAATGGAAATGACATAACTTCACTACTAGAAATGTTACAGCATTCTTCTCACTACTCTGTTGCAACATTGTTCAATTTTAGAGTAGTAGTGCCTCCTCACATGAAGTCTGCAAACTGTCTGGGAAAACACTTAGCAGTATACCTCTCCCACGAGATGGCTTCAATTTTCTGTGGACAAATTGTCCATCTTGAACCTAAGTTAGGATCTGTGCTTACTATGGGAGATCCTTCCAGTTCTAATGGGTGTGAGTTTTCAGACTATGTGTAGCCTTATATTAATCCTCAAGTAATGCTAAAAATTCTTTTCTTGTCAGTGTCAAAATGAAGAAAAACTTCATTTTCAGTGAATATATGGGTGTCTGAATAACTATAGTAACCAAATCTGGTGTAATTTTTTATATACACACGTGAACATGTCTCATTTATTATGAACGTTAAGAGGCTCTAACAACGTTAGACTGTATTACAGGATTTCCCTTTTTGTTACCGAATGTTAAGATATAATCAGCTTGTTACAATACTGTGTTCTCCAACCTGGGAACATAATAAAATTGTCAAAGGAGATTTGAGGAGAAGCAAACTCAGTACTCTATTCACCAGAGATGGTGATTGATGTGGAGTGGACAGCGTGAATACCCGCACGCACGCACGCACGGGTGAATTTGTTGTATAACGTGGGATGCTGTGATTACTGTGGCCTTCGGGTGTTGGTTTTCAGATAACTTTTGGTATGATGTCAGGGAGCCAAACGTGCCTTTAACCGTTTTCTTTCTCAGAGAAGCTTTTCTAATAGAATTGGCAGTCAGCATGTATTGTTTCTTTAAAGCCTACTCTTAGCATTATTTCTCTTACACTGCTGTAGCTTGCATTTCACTTGTTGATCTTTTTTTTTGAAGAAGCAACTGCTGAGGGAAGTGGCTCTTTCACACACAAATTGTACAGGTTGGGAGAGGCTTACGTTTTGTTTATGCTTAAAGTTTTTCCGTTCTCTCAAAGTGCTCCAGGCCAGAAAGTCTATTTCCAGTATCTGGGCCCTCTTATGTGCTCCGCGCAGAAAAGGCACTTCAGGTGGCTGATCAGGGGTGTGGCAAATTCAAGGCCCAGCTAGGCTACATAGATTAAGTTCAGGGCCAGTTTGGGGTATATAAGGAGACTCTGTCTTCAAAAAAACTAGATTATCAAATTGTTACACTCTTCAAAATCATTTTTACTCTGAGAACTTAGCTGTAATGAAAAGTTGCTAAGCCAAAACTACTTGTTCCTGAGCGTGGGTGTCTGGCTGGGAGGTGGGGGACAGTGGTCGAGCGCTTGTAGCCCTGGGTTCAGTCCCCAACTCCACAGAAACGTGTAAGAGGTATTAAGAAAAGCATGTTGCTATTCTTACAGTCTCAGTTCCGAGACCTTCCAACACTATTTTTAACCTGATACATTTTAAATTTAAATAGGGATTATAGGTTTTATCAACTCCACAGTTCGTTCTGTGAGTTCAGTGGCCGGTGCATATTTTCTTTCAAATTAGTTAAATTAATTTGTATGGAATTATGGATGCAAGTGCTGGTTCGCAAGTTGCACATTGTGTTTTCAGTGATGATTCTCTTCTTCTGTGTTATTTTTTAGTGACTCGCCTTTACCAGTCTCATCTCGTGTCTGCTTTGTTAAGTTCCATGATCCGGACTCGGCAGTTGTGGCGCAGCATCTGACAAACACTGTATTCGTTGACAGAGCTTTGATAGTCGTACCGTATGCTGAAGGTTTGTGCTTTGTTTAACTACCCACGTGGGCATCCTCAGATGACCGTCTACCTCAGTGTAGTTGCAGAGTGAGCGTTAGCGGTGTGTTAAAGTCTAAGCGGTTAACATTTGGAAACCCTTGTTATACTGCAGTACATGATACTTACTTGCAGATTATTTAATTCTAATCATTAGAAATGAGGTCTTTTTTTATAAGATATTTAACCCTTTGCTTTCTTTAATACATTTTTAAGTTCAAGAAAACCATATCCTTACTTGTAACTCTCTGAGATATATCTACTTAGTTTTGTGGAAAAGTCCCAAAGGTAAAATGATTCACTCCACGTGCACTTAACAGAAACCTTCAAATGCATGATGTTATCTAAATAAATGACTAGATTATATTTCTGTAATGCTTCCTCACAATGATAACTTTAAAAAAAACCCACATTGAATTCCGGTATACCAAGGGTTGCAGTGATTTTAAATTTTGTGAAAATGCAAGATTTCCTATAGTTTAGGTGCCAGATGGGCACTGGGTGTTTTGTTTTTATGCCAGATTTTCTTGTTCATTCTTGTTATATTTTCTAGAATATCTCTAAATAATAAATTCTTCTCTCTGTTATTTGTGTGTGTGATTTTTGTAGTGGAGAAGGCAAATGCAAACTTCCAGATGACTGAAAAACAGTGGGTCCTCTGCAGCTACAGGGGATTCTAGACATTAACTAAAGGCCAGCAAGCACTCCAGTGCCCCAGTGTTCCCTGGTGTGACCATTCGTTAACTGCATTTTCTCTCTTTTTACGTTTTAGGCTGTTAAAGTAATTTGACAGAAAAGTTGAGCAGGTTTTTTGGATCTAACAAAAAGCCACTGTGACAAGACAACACTATTTAATACCATTTTGTAAAATTTTCTGAGTCATATTTTATAATTTGATTGTTCCCAGTATACTGCTACTTGATTTGCTTTTTGGTAACTATAAATTTTGATTGAAGAAATCATTAACATGATAGAATAACTGGATTTTAAGTTAACATTTTATTAAATACACTGACCAGCATTTACATGCTTTACCTTTCCTTTAATAAACTGGTCAGTAGAAAGAAAGCCTTGTGATTGTTTATTTTAGTTGCTATCTTAGATCTTTGAATACAAATGTGAACATTTACACTATATCTTGTAAAGTTGTGAAATGTCTGAAGTTGGAGAAATTGACTTGGGGTTTCTAAAGAAAATAAGTTCTGTTGAGAGTTGGGTTAAGGCATGCTGTTGTAATAGTACTTGTGTCTCCATTGTATTAAAGTACCTGAGCACAGTTTTAAGGTTATTAAGATAGACAGACAGATGGACTTTAAAACAATCTTTTGGTTAAAAAAGTTTCTTTTATATCAGTGTTTCTTGTAGGCTAAGACTTAACCACCAATAAAAAATTTCTAGGATTCAAATTTAGGATGGGTAAAATATAAATGATAGGCCTGGAAACACAGGTCAGATCACGTGAGTAATGTGCAGAACATTGAAGTTAGCCATTAAATTTAAGGAATTTTTATTGGCTAAGTATTATGATTCCCAAGCCTAGAACATAATACAGTATATCATATAACTGGCCTTTACGGGTAGTTTTAGACTATAGTAGTTTTTTAAGCTCTGTTTTTCGAAGTAAGGTTTTGGGGAATGTGTATAGAATTATAGAAATGTTCAGTTGAGAAATCCATCTTTGCCGTGTTTGATTCGTGGTATGATATGCTGTATTAATGTTACCTCCATTAAGTAACCGAATGTTCAGTCCCTTTGTCACCATGCACTCTGGTTTTAGCTTTTACACTTTGGGAATGGCTCTTAGCCACTGTTGTAGAGCAGTAGACACAAAATTTACGGTAAGAAACAGCCTAAATTGGTAAAACTGAGCTATCAAGATTTGGAAGGAACTCGTAATAGTAATGAATTTGGGGGTTATTTTAGGTTCCTTGGTTAATGTTTGTTTCTTTTGTCTGTTTCTTTTTCTTTCATTTCTACACATTCATGCAGTATTTCATGGTTCTATCAAAGCAGCAGTAAAAAAAATACTCTTGACGCATGAAAATTAACTGGTGAGGGGCCTCATTGCTATTTTTTAAATTGTAGTTTTATTTTTAAATAGTCTTTTTAATCGGAGGATCAGATGCATGATTTTTTTTAATGGATGCAGATCTTCTATCAGGTGTCTCAGTAAACTCAAGAGGACTTAGTTTGCCAGAAATGTTGCAAATGCACTAATTTGAGTAAGATGTTGATACTTAATATATCCTCTTGAGACATAATTTTGCATGCAAAATTACCCCTTAATCTCTGTAGGTTTGTTAATATTGATGCATTAATGCCCTATATTTAAATGATCTTCTCCCCTTCCCCTCCATAACTCTCGGTATCTAAATTGATGACAGCTCTGGCACAAGCAAGATAACAGTGCTGTGTAGTATACATTTGTTTATATTATCGGCACTTCTCAGTGTAGGAGGAAGGAACCATTACCTTTATTTAACAGTGGTTTTTCTTTTTTGTTGTTGTGTTTTACAGTTCTTTTCCCTGGTTCAGCCTGAACTATATACCAGGCCCTGCTGAAAATACCACCCAACAGTTTTCTTCTGCAGCTTATCCAGTTTCTCTTAAGTGCCCTGTACATATTGTATGTTTTATGATGAGATGCAGTTTCTTAATATGTATTACAGAGATACTACTGGTATTTGCAAATATGTAGTTTAATTGTATTATTGAACTCTCATTTTGGGGGCTTGGGCACATTAACAGATTAATCCATCTGTATAGGGCTTTTGCTGTTGCATAGAATTGAAATTGTCTACACAAATATTTGTATTAGGGCCCTTAGATTTTATCTGAATACACAAATTAGGCCTTGAAAACAGACATACTTGTCGCTTTGGGCTTAAGGAGTTGAGTTCAGTTAGTTTTAAACTGACACTGTGTAGCATTTTTGGTACAAGTAGCATGGCACATGTTGGAACATAAAAGCATTTACTGTACAGGTAAGGAATGTGCCATGTTGTTTTACCTATTTTCGCTTTCTCTCTCTCTATCTCTCCCACTCCCACACACATCCTGTGTGTATTCAGAGATCTTCAGAAACGTTCATGTTCATTTTCATGAGTCAGCAAAAGCCCTACGCTTGATTCCAACAGAATATTTCCTTACATACTTTTCTTCTCTTAAATTTTACAAAATTTGTATGGTAGGTGTAAAAATCATAGTAACTGTACCATATTATTAACCCCTAAATCAAACTTTTTTTGTCTTGTGTATCTTGATTTTTCTGTGTGCTTTATAGTGAAGCAGCCGACACGAGTCGTTGTTCATAAAACAGCTTTTGAAAGTTGAGAGCACACCCCTGGAGAACCGACTGTGCTTGCTTACGTTTGGTTCATGACTTAAAAATCGAGTACAGGTGATGAAATCTTGGCAGTGTTAACAAAAAAGTAGTGTGTATTGTGCTATTTTTTTTTTACTCTAGAAACTTAACCATTTGTAGAGAAAAAAGGAAACATTTTCACACATTGAAGTTTCATTCTGACATAAAATTAATGATAAATAATCATAGAGATCAAGCTTTATATTTTAGCGAGCATAAGTACTTTCAGCAAACTCAGGTGGTATATCAGGTAGACATTTTCTGGGTGTTTTTGTGTGTTTTCTGCCTTACCAAAGAGTGTACTCTCATGCAAGAATGTTTCTCTGCAGGAGTTATTCCTGATGAGACTAAGGCTCTGTCTCTGTTGGCACCAGCTAATGCAGTGGCAGGTCTTCTGCCCGGTGGTGGACTCCTCCCCACACCCAACCCACTTACCCAGGTACTTGTTCTGTTCAATTCTGAAAGGCTGGAAAGAAGCATTGAACTGTGGACGAACCTAAACATACCTGAACTTTTCAAGTGCTTTTGTGGTCTAGTTCTTACAGCAACATGACGTGTGCATATTATTGGAGAAGACTGTGTTAAAATCATAACACCGTTTAGAAAGTTGGTATTGTAAGAATAAGTATCATAAAATATCCCAACTGAAATTGTGGACGTGCTGTAAGAAGTGGATTTGGGCGAGAAAAGAAAAGGAAACAGAAGGAAAGTTCCGTAAAGGATGCCTGCCCCGCCCCTTTTGCTCTCTCACAGCCCTTTGTTCTTCTGCTGTCACCTAGGGGTTGCCTCAAATGGAGGGTTGAAAATAAAGAGCGATTCTAGATGAGAATGCTGGATGTGGGGAATGCGGAGTAAAGTTGGTTAAAAGGTTTCTAACAGTGCTGTAAGAGGGCACATCATTATATTGTAGACATGTGATTTAATGTTGTGTTCTGCAGTGCTGGGGGTCAAACTAAGGACTCACACATGCCAAGCGCGTGCTGTGCCCCCAGCCCAGGAGGCACTTGAAATAACATGCATGCTGCCTGCTGCCACTGTGTAACTAGTCATTGCTTTCAGAGCTACAGTGAAGGCGATCCTCACCTAGAAGTGTCTGCAGGCGCCCTTCCCCGCAGTGTGCCTGAGTGAAGGGCCGGTGCCGTTAGCTGTGACGGGAGTAGTGGAGCATCTTGGAAAGATCCGGAGCTCCCGGCCCTCTGGGCCTGACTGTCTCACTTCACTCCTAGTTCCTCACCTGTGGCATGAGGACCTGAGTAATTGCTAGGTCTTTTTGCTGTATAAAACTATGTATTCTACCAGACCATGGTGTGAAGGAAAACGCATTTCACCTGTACTCAGTTACATTACCAAAAATGTAGTACTTTGTATTTCCTGCATAGTAACTGAAACGGGGTGAACTTAGAGAATAGTTTTTTGGAGAAAGTCAGATTGCCTGTGACGTTACTAGGCTTTACATCTCTTCGTCTGTTCAGGGTAAATCAGAATTCTCAGGTAGGACCAGAGCTACATACTGTGTGAATGTGCAAGAGGGGACAAGAGTTCACTTCTAGAAGGTTGCTAGGGGAAGTCTGATGACTTCAACACAGTGGGCAAGACATCTCGGAGGCAGAAGGAACGTGCCAAGGGACACACTTAGAGCAGGGGACTTGGGGCTCCCTGCTTCTGCTCCGCTGAGACTCAGGCCTCCTTGGAAAGCATGGCTGGAGCATAGGAAATATTTTTCCCTGCATCTTGGTTTTAACTGCATTCTCGAGTTGATGAGACATTGGACCATCCCTTAGAGTAAGGTTTGGCAAGCCACCCATTTTAGCTACAAAACAAAATTGTTCATCATCTGTGGCTAAATTTAATGCGCATTTGCATACAGTTGCATGGCTGCAGCAGAGACCCCAACGCACAACTGACTGTCTGACCCTTTACAGAAAGGAAGTGCTAAGCCCTGGTCCTGGGGTCAGAGTGGTTTTACATAAAGAAACCTTTCTTACAGATTGGAGCTGTTCCACTGGCTGCTTTGGGAGCTCCCACTCTGGACCCTGCCCTTGCTGCCCTGGGACTTCCTGGAGCAAACTTGAACTCTCAGGTACCTGAACTGCCCGGCAACTTTTAGCCAGTTTTACAGAAACCTTACTGTTTGCTTGTGTATTAAGAGAGTAAGTGAGTGCTGTGTCATAGGAACGCTTCGTACTCCTGTCAGCTTTTTAAAGGCGATCTGAAGGGTCACTAAATGGTTAGCGTCTTACAATTCAAAGAAAAACGGGTTCCTGGGGAACCCCGCACACCATCAGCGCATCTCAGCCACGGGTTTTTGGGAAGCGTGGCGCACCATCAGTATATCTCGGCTACAGAGGCGTCCTGAACTCTACTGTCACGGAAATTCTTGGGCTTCGCTTGTGCTGTTGTTTTGTTGTTGACATGTAAGCTTTCCCAAAGCCCTAACCCTGATTCATAAAACTAGATAGAGGCTTTGCGTGAAGCTTCACCCCCACCCTTTTTATTTTTATTTGTTAATTTTGAGACAGGATATCACTAAGTTGCCCTGGCTGAGCTGGAACTTGGGATCTTCCTGCCTCAGCCTCCTAGAGTGCTGGGGTTATAGGTGTGTGCCACCATGTCCAGCTTTTAAAGTCCTTCTTTCCTGGAGATCTTCTGACACACACTCTAAGGAATTAAGTTTTGTTTTAATGTATCTTTAAAATACTACTTTCCCTCTGAACATCTGAAAACAAGCAAGAGGTAATTCTGTAATCTAGACTGTAGAGTGTTTCAGGTTACTTCCTAAGTCTGTTAAATACAGTAGCCACTAAAGCCATTTGTTATTTTTTTTTTTTTTTTAGTGTGGCTACTAAAAAATTTACTTACACACAACTTGCATTGTGTCTTTACTGCTCAGCGTCTGCGTGGAGCATTCTAACTTTCATAGGGTTGGCAGATTGTGCCAGGACCTTTCAACACAGTGAAAAGATGAAATAGCAGTGATTTACTGTGTTCTGTGGTCTTACCACTCTTATGTTTTGTTTCCTGTAGTCTCTTGCAGCAGATCAGTTGCTGAAGCTTATGAGCACCGTTGATCCCAAGTAAGTATTTTTCTTTGGTGGTATAGTGGGTGGATTTCTAGACAGAAATTACCTTTTTCTTTTTTTTTTTGAAACACTCATGCTATGTAGCTCAGGTTGGCCTTGAACTCACTGTGTGGCCCAGGCTAGCCTTGAACTCACGGTAATCCACCTGCTTCGGCCTCCTAATTGCTGGGATTACAGGCACACACTGCCATACCTGGTGAGAATAGTTAGTTTTGATAGCTCAAAATATTATCTGTTCTCAAGGCTTCTCTTATATACTGTTTTGTGGAAACAAGGAGAGAATCCCCAAAGCGAGCATCTTGTTTTGGCCTAGGTAGTTCAGACCAGCGTCGAAGCACTCGTGCTTCCTAGCGTGGGTCATCAGTGCTCTGGTGGCGAAGCATCATGTGCAGTGATGTTCGTGCCGTCCCCTGGGGAACCACGGGGCTGGGAAGCTGCATGCAGGGACACAGTGTGGAGATGATGAGAGGGAGCCTCGGAGGGACCTGGGAGCTAGTGCGGCCGAGCTGAGGGAGCTGGGCCCACGCAGAGCAGAGGTGCCCGGGAGTGGAACCATCGGCCACACAGTCTCGGGTCCTTTGATTAGTGTCTTTCCTGTTAGGCCTGGAATTGTCTCTACCTGAGGTGCAACAAGTTCAGGAATCTGTTTTAATTAGTAAATTAAATTTGAACTTCATGCCGTTTCCCATTATGCTCGTGAAAGTCTCTCAGTAACTCAGGAGAGCTCGGGGCTGCGGGACAGAATGATTGACTTTGGTATTTGGTGGCCTTTTACCTCAAGAATTACAATTCACAACCAAGCCTGTGCCCGCCACCCGTTTACTGGGGACTGTCAATGCAGTTCATGTTCTTGTGCCCTCAGTTTCCTTTCCTGTTCCACGTGGACCCTGCACATGTCACCGCATGGGGGCATCAGGCGTGAGCCTTTCCAGTCAGGGTTTCCTCTGTAACTGCAGGGAGCCGTTGGGTGCCTCTGTTTCCCATGTCTGCAATTTAAAGGCAGTGCCTTTGCGCCAGCAGATTGAGATGCCAGGTTTCCAGCTGGGTGGGGAGAAATTCACTTAGGCTTTTAGCATCAGTAGTGTTTCCAAAATACGTTTGTTTACAGAAAGTTAAAGTAAATAGGTATTTTTTAATTCCATAATTCCAGGTCTCTGAATCATTGAAATAGAGAGGCTCATTGTACAGATTCAGAAGGATGCTATGCTGTACACTGTTTTGAATTTTTTTGCGACAGGGTCTCACTGTGTAGTTGAGGTTGGCCTTGCGCTTACTGTATAGCCCAGGCTGGCCTCACACTCAAAGCAGTGCTTCTGCTTCAGCCTCGTGAGTGCTGAGATTACAGATGTGCACCACCACATCTGGCTGTATATCCTGAAGTCACGGAATCCTCCCCCATTTTTTATCAAGAAATATTTTACTAAAATGGTGTTATATGAAACATAAACACTTGAAGTTTAGAAATATTTTCATTCTCAATTCTTGTTTCTGTTTCAGGTTGAATCATGTAGCTGCTGGTCTTGTTTCACCAAGTCTGAAATCAGATACCTCTAGTAAAGAGATAGAGGAAGCTATGAAAAGAGTCCGAGAAGCACAGTCCCTGATATCTGCTGCTATAGAACCAGGTAGAATTACCTTTTTGCAGTAGTACTGAGTATTAAACTGTCTCTTGTCGAGAATGCTGACCATTCAAGTGTGGAAGCGTGTCGAACAATACTCACACATTTTCAGGTTCTGACAAATAAAAGCTGTAATGCAGTGCCACCCGCACAGAAGTAGAAATACCTGGAGTCGTGTGCGGCTGTCATTCTGGTGCTGTCTCTGCTGAGCAGAGGACAGGGGTGTCAGCAGATGTGCTGCCGTGACAGGGCAGTCCTCAAGCAGGGACTGAGAGGCCAGAGAGCCAGCAGCATCTAGGGTAATCCGGTGCTGGGGTGATACTTAGGCTTATTTTTCATCATTTGTCTACTACAGGATGGCCTGATTTTAAGCCTCTTATTAGACCAAGAGAAGAAGGAAAGCAAGTTCCTTATTTTTTGCAGTCTTCAATGAAGTGACCTTTCTCATGTGTGCTGGGGAGAATCCAGGTCTCGCTCATGCTAGGCAGCTGCTCAGCCACCGAGCTGGGCCCATGCAGGGGCTCCGGGTTGGGGCGGTGGCCGCCTGCTGTGGTCCACGTGTGTTTACATCTGTGGGCGTGGATTGCTTTTCCTTGTTAAACAGTGTTCTTGGGTTCTTATTCCTTAATGAACGATGTTCTCAGCATGCATAATATTAGGAAAATAACTTTATAATGGGAAAACGTCCCAAATGTTTTACGTATTATATATCATTTAATCAGTAAAATGTCTTAGTAATTAACAGTGGTCACATGGCAAGTAATAAAACTAGATACACAGCTGGATCAGTGTAACCCAACGCTTTGGGACACCTGATACTTACTTCTGTTGAAAACCCACCACTACTACTGAATGTGGTTTCGTAGATTTTTGTGAATTCCTTATTGATAGTGACATTCATAACAAACTGAGCACTGTTATGAAAAGATCTACAAGTGAAAGATAGAGGAACTCATTCTCCCTTTGAAATGAGGAAGTGAATAATTCTGATCTAGATGTGTTTCCTGTGCTTGTGTAATTAATGTCTGTTCGTTAGTCCTTCTGTGGACGTGCGTTCAGTGTATTCAGCATAGGAGTGTGAGAAAGGCAGTGGATTCTCCCCGAACTCCAAGCCCATGCACACGCATCCACACACTCAGGCGGAAGAACAGTGTGCAGGATTGTGGTGATGGCTCTTTATAAACCTACATAGTGAATGTATTTGCTGGTAAGTACTGTCTGGGAGACATTAGCAATATAGAAACAGTAACAGTAAAGGCTGAATCTGGCTGAATTGTAACTATATGTGAAAGAACCTAAGGAAAAAGAACTCATTTAGAACCTCTGAATAATAAACTAGAGCCAAAGAATGAGAAAGGTAACCCTTCTTCCTCTTTTATGGGAAATACTTCCTAAGTACACGGCCTCCTAAGTACGGCAAATGAGAAACAGCACGGGGAAGCTTCAGCTAGCTGAGAACTTGACATCAAATTAGAACCTACCAGAAACCTGGACAGTCAGTGTCACTTGAGCAGGCATCAGCGTTATGCATTATGAAATGATTACTTGTAACATTTAAGGGTGTGTGTAAAAGGTCAGAAGTAAGATAAAGAAGTTGTTCGAGTATTTCCTGAATGGAAATGGTTCTCTTTGATGATTTCTAAGCATACGTTTTTGTTTGTTTCCTTTTAAATCAGATAAGAAAGAAGAAAAGAGAAGGCATTCAAGATCAAGATCTCGCTCCAGGAGGAGGAGGACTCCCTCATCTTCTAGACACAGGTTAGACTGATTTTTGTAGAGGTTCGTTGTACCCGTACACGAAGGTAGCTTTTATGTCGTTTTCTCTGGTAACTCACGACCCCAGAGCGGTGCCACAGCAGGTGTTCGTTACCATTGAAAGCTCTAAAAGCTTCGCCCTCGGTGCCCTAGATTAACATGAGAGTCAGCGCTGAGTTCACGGGTGTGAAAGGCAGAAAGGACAGAGACCAAAACGGTGGAGTCATGCTTTAAAATCAGAACGTCCGTAGGCGGTAGGAACAGACTGGCCCTGTGCATGGAAGTGAGCCCGCCCGCGGGAGGAGTGCTGAGCCCTGTCCGGTCATCCTGCAGCTGAGGCGGGGATAGTGAAGTAAGGAAAGGTAGTCTTAACCTGTTACTGTGATGGGCTCTTTTTTATAAAATGACAAAATTTGACAAGCGACCGTTCCTGAAAAGTTACTGTGATGTGGAATGTGAAACTGCAATTAGAAATCATCTTCATGTTCTTTTAAATTAAAACGTTTATCTGTCTTGACTTTGAGTAGACCTTTAAAGAGGAGGAACTTTCACTGTTTGATCAAAGACATCTTTGCTGAAGGTGACCCGTTCTTCTTCAACATGGGGCGTAGGGCAGTGGCAGTGACCGCTAAGACAGTCGTGGTGTGTTGAGGAAATGTCAGCGCAGTGCGGAAGGCGCGCAGTAGCCGCTGCTTTTGAAACACCCCGAGCCAGGGTCAGGGGGCACCCAGGAGTCCACAGACCTCAGTTTGGAAACGGCCACTGGGGTTTTTCAAGGCTTCCTTTCTAAGCTCCCTGCGCAGGCTCATTGCCTTCAAGCCCTGGTGTAAGCTGCCCAAAGGCGGCGTGCAGGTGCGGATTTGGGCTTGTGGTTGGTGCTTCTGCTGTGTCCACTGCACCTCATTGGAAAGTTAAGCTCACTGCCTAGTGGGTTTTTCAAAGCCCTGTGAAGTGCTCACTGTTTGTTGAGGAAAGTCTTGTGTTCCTGTGACTTGCTTTGAGGTCTAGTAAGTCGGGGCTGCAGTGGTTGCCTGAGGGCACAGTGGTGAGTGAGCGGAGCCCCTTGCCCTTGGGGAGTTGACAGGGGTCGGCCTTGCCTTTCGGTGTCTGAGGGTGCAGAGCCCTTACTGCCAGATTGTTTAACAGGCAGTTTCCCATCAAAATGTGATAAAATAAACATTTCTGGAGTTCAGTATGGCAGGTTGATGGGCTTTGTCTCCAGGGAGTTCAGTAAGGGGAGGGAGAAGCATCAGCACGTCACATGCACGCCGGGATCTGTCCTTGGGAGAAGCCATGCCGCTCACAGGCATTTGTGAGGTAGGTGGTGTCATCTTCAAGTGCAGAAGTGGCAGCAGCAGGAGGTTAGATGATCTCAGGGCGCGGAGAGTTGAGTCTGGGTTTTTCCGCTCCTGGTGTGTCTGTACTGCCGTCTTCTGGAGCAGGCAGAGAGCTGAGGCTGTACTGGAAATACCCCACAGACGGGTCAGTGACGTTAGGTCATCGGCACGAACAAAAATTTCAGAACGGATTTTTAACAGTTCTTGAAACAGAGGAGGGAGTGTTCTGAGGCAGAGGATCTGTGACAGCATCTAAAGGCTCCGACAGCTTGACCGAGGGGGGCAGGGAAGGAACAGAGACATTTCTGAAATGTGGCAGGGGCCCAGGGACAGGCCAAATGACCCGCGGGAGCTGCGAGTACGGAGCAGCTTGAACTGAGCGCTGTGTGCCAGCCCCGCGTGGCTCGGGGTCTTGTACATTGTGGCTAGAGAAGTGGCGGGCCCTGTAGCAGGGCCCGAGGTAGACAGCAGCACCCGGAGCAGATTGCGTAACATAGGGTAACAGGTCTACTCTGGAACTTTTCATGAGGTCTGCCTTTTTGTAAAGTATGTACCAAACATTTGGTAATTGATAAATAAGGTTTAACTTACAGTAGTAGAGAATTAAATAAAAAGTGTTTGTTAAAGTCTAAGAGAATTGTAGCCGGTTGTCATGGTGCACCCCTATAATCCCAGCACCATAGAGGCTGAGGGAGGAGGATTGCTTTGAGTTTGAGGCCAGCCTGAACTACCTAGTGGGTTCAAGGCCAGGCCGAATTGCACAGGGAGACCCTTCTCAAAAACCAGAACTAAGTAAGTAAGTAAAATAATATAACGCCATACAGTTGGGTTTTTCTGTTTCCTTCCTTTTTAGTCGTTTTTCTATTTGTATGTGTGGTACTGGGGCTGAGCACTGAGCTGCATGCCCAGCCCTTTGGTTAGTTCTTCAGGGTCTCCCTAACTTACCGAGTTACTCAGGCTTGGGACCCCGCTGCCACAGCCTCCCGGTGTGCTGGCTCACAGCTGCGTGCTGCCATGCCTGGCTTCTCCTAGCAGCTTTAACCTGCGAATTGGAGGTGCAGTGGGTGGAGAAGGCCTGCTCGGCCAGGCTTACCACCAGATTGAAAGGCGGGGAACTCCAGCTCGTAAGAGGCCCCCTGGCTGTAAGATGGCAAGGAGGTTTAATGTGGACTACACTGTGGACAGCAGCTGGAAGGGCACTTGCTGCCCTTGCTGTTAGCCCGTAGGTCTGAGGCTGACGAAATATGCACAACTCATCTTTTACATTTCCCCACATAAGTGGCTTTCTTTTTACTAGGCGATCAAGAAGTCGGTCAAGGAGGCGATCACATTCTAAGTCAAGGAGTAGACGGCGATCAAAAAGTCCAAGACGGAGAAGATCTCATTCCAGAGAGAGAGGTAGACGGTCAAGGAGCACTTCAAAGGCTAGGTAAGCATCTGCGACGGGGAGAGCCTGGGTTGTGGAACAGCCGTCAGGCCTGAGCTCAGGGCTGCTTAATACGAGGTGCGGTGGGTGGGGGCAGGGGCCAGATGGCCGCGCGGCTCTGTAGGGCTCGAGGGGGCTCCCCTCTCCCTGTCCGCTGTATAAACAAGCTCAGGCCTGTGTCTGGAGGCCTTGGGAAGATTTCTGAGGAGCAGAAGTTTGTGTTAGGTTTCTTCTTCTCACTGGACACCGCTAAGGCTCCAGTCCTTGCAGCCCCTCCTGGTAATGTGCCGGAGGGCGTGAGGCACACAGCTGTGCTTCACCCTCAGTAACTGGTGATCACACTTCATGGCATGTCCTTCCACCAACTGAGAGTGGCCACGGTGTGATTGGGCATGTGACCCTACAGGACCGTGGTTGCGTGTGATTATTACCAGCAACACCGCCATCCGGCCCTGAGCTTTAAAGGGCCACTGCTGGAGGGCCCGTGGTCACTTCCTACACGGTGCGCCGGGCCTGCTTGGAGGCTGGTGTTGCAGGGGTCTGAGAGTCAGATGGCGAAGAGCAGCTTGACAGAGTGGGTGATTGCCGGAGCTGAGGGCTGAGGGGAAGGGGCGGGGTGGAGAGGACAGGGAGGGAGATGGCCAGTGAACAACAGAGCAGGGGATTTGCTCGCGGATTGTCAGGGTAGGGGTGTGTGTGGTCGCCGAACTTCCCACTCAGCAAGTTAGCGTACTGGCCACCTACCTACGGCTCAGAGCTTGGCGGATACGGTGTTGCTGGGGGAAGTCACTGTGGGATTTAAATACCAGTAAATTCGTAGGAATTTTAAAAAGCTTTGAGCTGAAATACGGATGTAGTAGCCGTGTATTTTGATGGGCTGCTTTTCTAAGTGCACTGAGCAGACCAGGGTACGTAGCACTGGGAAAGGTCACCATTGGCTTGACCCTTGGTTTGGTGTTACCCTGGGTGCGGGTGCGCGCTTCGGAAAGGTGTTGTTGAGCAAGTAGGTAGTGCGCTAGGGCTGCAGCCTAGTGGTAGAGGTGGGTGGGAGAACGGCGGTGAGCTGAGTGCAGGAGTGTTAAGGGGCCTAGAGACGCGTGCAGAGCCTGTTGGAGCCACTGCCGAGCGCGCTGTGGAACTGACCAGCCTCCAGAGTGCTTCTCACCACATGGGCTGCTTCTCGATGGGCTTTTTGACGACGCCATTTCACCATGAATATGCCACAGGAGCGCTCTTCTCAGGCTGCTTCTGTCAAGAGCGCTCATGTTTCCAGGAGCGGGATTAAATCCGATTACACTTGTGCTTTTATCTGTGACTTACAAATTGGCATTCGCTGTCTTCTCATGCATTCTGAAATTGTGTTCATTTATTAGAGACAAAAAGAAAGAAGACAAAGAAAAGAAACGCTCCAAAACACCACCAAAAAGTTACAGCACAGCCAGGCGTTCCAGAAGTGCAAGCAGGTAATTGGGCGTTAAGAAACTGTTTCTTAATTTTAAACTGCAGGATGACCAGTAGGCTGTGGTCATGAAAGGTGTTCAGAGCATAGGTAAGTCCTTCGGTGTTGGGAAAATCGGGGCTGGGAAATGTCAGAAGCTTTTAAAGGCAGTTAGGAAAAAATAACCTTAAGTTTACCTTTCTGCTGAATATTTTACCCGTTGATTGATGGGTTGATTGCAGAGAATTTGAAATGACATGGGATTTAGCACAGTTTTTCTGTCATATGTCTTACGCTGTAATGGCTAAAGCATACGGAATTGTTAAATTTTATTTTCATTGTGAGAAGTTGTGCTCACTATATCCACATGTTCATACATGAGAGTTTTTCTTTCCCATGTAGTAGTTCATTCAGTGCAAGTTCTGCTGTCTTCTTTGCAGTATACTTTATTTAAATTACTAGAGAGTTCATGTCATACTATGAAAACCTCAGTGTGGGTGATGAAAGACTCAGGAGTGCTAACTGTGAAACTTGTAGAAGAAAAACGGGAAAATTTTCATGAGCTGCTACTTGGCAGTGCTTTCCTACATAACAGAGCACAAGCCCAGAAGAAAAATTGGAGCTCGTCAGAATTAAAAGCTTCTGTGTCTCAAAGGGTACTTTCATGGAAGTAAGAAGACTTCCACAGATAATACTGGAAAATGTTTGCACTTTACATAGCTGACACCTAAAATATGTGAAGGGACTGATATCCGAGATAGCATACAATTCGTATAGCCCAGAAGAAGAAAGGCAGATAACCCAACTGAAAAATATGCCAGAGGGATTAGGCAAGGTGACACATTCATATAATTTGGGCTACCGGGGAGGCTGAGGCACGATTACCTGCCCTGCATAACTTGAGACTCTTGTCTCAAAAATAAATTAAAAAGATAGGGAATGTGCGTGACTCAGTTTGACTCCGTAAGTTAAATCTCCCAGTACTGTTCCCACACTCACTGCTCCACACGCAAGGGCTCTGTGTGGCCATTTCTCCCAAGAAGGCCTGCAAGCGTCTTAGCAAGTGTGTGGCGGGGGCTCAGCATCAGAAGTTACTGAAACGCCGGTCCGAGTCGCCGCGGGACAGCGTCTCATACTTGCCACGGTGCTCACACTGCAGAGGACGGGGAGAAATGAGCACCCTGGGCATTGTGAGAGGAACATAAAACACTGCGCCTGCTTTGGACGATGTTACCCAGGTTTTTGATCCTGCAGCTTCCCTGCTGGAGGGAGGGAGTCACACAGATACTCAGAGCACTGCTAACGCTGGGCGAAGGCAGCCTGCACGTACACCGGCAGGCGAGTACACAGAGGTGTCCTGTGCGGCAGACCGTGCAGTGCGGAGAGGGGGATGCGCGCCGCCCTCCTCTGGAGTGTCCACACAGGACAGGGACTGGGACAGGTCCGCAGAGCAGCCCTCAGCCCCTCGGGGAGGGGCGGACGGGCCGATAGTGAAAGGGAGTGGAGTGTGTTTGCAGAACGATGAAAAACTCAAGAGTGAGCTTCTGAGAAAAGGAAAGTAGGTGTCAGCGCCCAGAAGACGACAGACGCGCTAAGGGTCGGCCAGCCACTGCGGCCGGGGCGAGGAAGAGGGAGCCGTGCTCGGCGTGCGCCGGCCCCCGCCCGCTGTCCCTATGCTGAAAGCAGAGCACGGGGTTCGTGTCTTCAAAAGCAGTATCTAACATGGAAAGCGTTCCGCGGTGCAGCAGCCTCTGCGGGGCACAGGATCACAACGTGAAACTTTGCCTCCGCCTAGAGAATCGGGAGGTCAGGGTACCCGAGACAGGAGCGTCAGATGTGCTCTTGCCGGCTGGGCGGCCGGGCGTGGGTGTCCTTGTGTGCGGTGTGCCCAGGCGGAGGGGCGCGGTGCGCGGGCAGGAGCTGGGACTCTGCAAGTACACGTGGTATTCTTAAAGCCACCGCAGAAAGGAAGTGAAAGCTGTTTCTTAAAAATAAATACCCAGGTCGGTGGGGAGGATTTTGCTGGCATGTAAGGAGCCAGTTTAGTTTATACCTTTCCAGTAACTGCTCTCCGCATTTCATCCAGTGACTTACAGTTAACGCTTTGAACGTTCGTGCCTGCCTTCCAGACCCCGGCATCTCTGAATGATCTGTACCTGTTTCAGTCGAAAGCCCGCCGCCTCAGTAATAGGTCGCTACTGATCTTTTCTCTTGCGTTAAGCTTTGGATAAGCAGTTTTTTTCATAGCCCGGGATTATTTCAGCTCAAAACAGTATGGTGAGACAGGTTTTGAGTTATAAGAGGTGTGTTGTACAGTTTCCTAGTGGAGCGAAATAGAGCGTATTGTATTTTAAAGTCTAGTTTGCACGTTTGTAATTTCAGAGAAAGACGGCGACGAAGAAGCAGGAGTGGAACAAGATCTCCCAAAAAGCCTCGGTCGCCTAAAAGAAAAATGTCTCGCTCCCCATCCCCTCGAAGGTAAGACTGCTGATCAGGTAGACCTGTCTTACACCTGCCAGAAGCTGTAAGTTTGAAAAGGTGTCCTGTATTTTTAAACACCTAACAGCTTCTCCTCCTCTCTGGGAATTTGAAATGCCCCCAGAATCCACACGCACTGCCCTGTGCTCCGTCAGGCTTCCAGGAGCGCTCTGGAAGTCGCCTCTAGGCCTGCAGCCAGGTCACAGCCTTCGCGCCTGTGTCACCTGTGTGCAGCTTGTACCTCTGGCGGTGTTTCGGTCGCTACGCTGCGGGTGAGGCTTCCTGAGGGTGCTGGAAAGAAAGCACCTTCTCTGAGCACCTTCTCCGTTCTGACCCTTGTAACTCACTGTAGACATAAAAAGGAGAAGAAGAAAGACAGAGACAAAGAACGCAGCAGAGATGAAAGGGAACGCTCCACAAGCAAAAAGAAGAAGAGCAAAGATAAGGAAAAGGAGCGGGAGAGGAAGTCGGAGAGCGACAAGGACGTGAAAGTATGTATGCAGGCCGCCCTCGCCGCGGGCGCGGGAGCAGGGAGGCCGCTGGGGCTGCGGGAGCTCACTTGCGCTGTTCTCGGGAAAGCAGGTCACACGGGACTACGACGAGGAGGAGCAGGGCTACGACAGCGAGAAGGAGAAGAAGGAGGACAAGAAGCCCGCAGACGCGGGCTCCCCCAAGGCCAAGGAGTGCTCTGTGGAGAAGGCGGCTGGCGATGCGCTGAGAGAGTCCAAGGTGAACGGGGACGATCACCACGAGGAGGACATGGACATGAGCGACTGAGCGCCGCACCGGGCTCCTGCTGCGCGCACCGGTGTCGTCCCTCTGTGACCGCTCGCTCGCTCAGCGCTGCGTGCACGTCTCCAGCCCAGGCGTGCACGGCTCTGAGTGACAAGTGGTTACAGAGCTCCTGATGGTGACCTTCATGATTTACATCCAGAAGCGTGTAGAAAAGGGTACCTCGGTAACCAGCTCTGGTTGTGGTGAAATCTGGTGGGGTAGCCCGGCGGTCTCACTGTCCCGGGGCTGCTGCGTCCCAAAGGCGACAGCTGCATGCGGCCACAGCAGGCATGGATCGTCTCTGTTGTGTGAGCTCCCTTCTTCCGTACGTTCACTTATAGTCTCTAGAATTTGGTTCATTGCCGTAATAGAGCCATGTAGGGAATGCACTGATTGCATGTTATTGTGGCAAGAATACCCTAAATGTCATTACAGTCCTCCAGCAGGACGGGTCTCTTCTGGTCTTGTTTGTTGACATGACGAAATAACATTCTTAGAGTTACATCTGGAAATGAGCATTTGAGTAGATAATCCTTGAAGCCATGTGGCTCAATTTTTGTGGCTTTTGTTTAACTTTGAAAGGTTATATATGCACTAACCTTTTTTGATGGCTAATTAGGCTTTAATTACAAAAACAAGATTTCACATAAAACTGTCTTTGGCGGTGAGGAAGTGAGCAACATATTTCGAGGTAGAATTGTATACGTTTTCATAGGTGTTGGGGAATTTTTTTCCTGAAATAATTGACTCCACCTCTGCATCAGTGAGAGTTACCGCCTCTCCCGAGTCCACCTGTAAAAGAAACTTCTCTCGTCCTGATTTTCAATTCTCCACTTTCACTGTTTCAAGCTCAGTGTTGGAAAAAAGGGGATAGTGCATTTTAAATTGATCGTCATATACTTTTAAAACAAATCGACTTGATAATGTACTTTTATTTGATCTCAAGTTGTATAAAACCAATAAATTTGTGTTCTTATTACTGCAGTAGTAACCTTAATGCACACGGTGATAATCTGCGAAGTAGTTAGGCAACTGTTTTCTTAGTTACAGGAGTTCCGAGCTTCACTTTTGTGCAGTAGAACAAAAGTAGGCTACAGTCTGTGCCATGTTGCTGTACAGTTTCTGAAATTGTTTTACAAGACTTTGATAATAAAACCCTGAAACTTATGTTCATGTTCCTGTAAAACCGCATTTGTATTTATTTACGCTGTTGAATGTATGACATTTACCTCATTTTACAGATCTCATTTCTTTCCCTTGCTGCCCACATTTGAATACAGTTATGAGACGAAATCTCCCGCCGCGGAGACCGCTGCCCGTAGCACTGTCAGTGTCGCTTCTGTCTGAAATCCTCTCTCTCTCTCTTTGGATGTGGGAACGGGGTTGGAGAACGCAGTGAACTTCTAGGATAAACATGCTGTCACCCCCAAGTAGTAAATTTATATTTTCAGTGAAATATAGATATTTGCCTTTTCTGAGATAGTCTAGAAGATGTCAATAATCTGTATGTACTGTACCATACTAAATAGTATATTTATTCACCCAGTCAGTGAGGAGTGTTTGGGCAGCTGGGCTTAACAGACTTGGAATTGTAGCTTCTCTCCAAGTTTTGAGTATAAATTGGTTTTTTCAAAACCTGTTCTAAAATTGAAATGCCATATCAAAAAGCAGTGTTTTTATTACAGTTTGTAGTTAACTTTTTAAAGATTTTTATCAACAGGACTTTTCTCTAGAGCAAGTGTAAGGAGTTCTAGTCATGGGCGGAATAATCACTGCATTTTTAAACAGTTGGATGCAAACATTTGTTTAAATTTCCGAGAACATTTTTCAGTAGACAAAGCAACAGCATGGGATGTGACCATTTTGTAAGTCAAGACCATGTAAAACAGTGTCACCTCCTGGGATGGACCTCGTTCAGAGGCTCGTCCTCGCCGGTCACCCCAAGTGCAGACACGGTCACTGTCTGGGGCCCTGGTGAGCGGCCGCAGAGGGGAGCCTCCTGGCTTCCAGCGACCGTTTCCCGCGCGGCGCTGGCGGTGCAAGGGGACAGCCTTCCGCAGGAGAGAACTGGAACCGACTGAACACTGCCCCCAGAGTTCTGTTCTGTATCTGCTAGTAAGCGATTTTAAAATAAAAGTGGTTTTGTTAGAAAAATGTTTGTCCTTATTTATTTGCCTAAAGTTTTCAGTAGTGATTAAGAGTAGTGGCTGTAATAAAGCACCTTTTTGGAAGAAAGAAAAATTTGGTTTTTGAAGCACAGACTATGTAACGAAGGCTGCTTCAAGGCCTCTTGCCTCAGCCTCCCATTGCTGGGATTGCAGGCAGGTGCCACCACGCCTGGCTCAAAAATCAGGTCACGAGTTTGGGCTAGGTAGTAGAGCTGGGCCCGTGCTGTTTGGAGATTTGATACGCTTTTTAGTTGGAATTTAAATTTCTGCCCTTGATCTCAAAACTAGCTAATGCATGTTCTCTCTGCTGCTAAGAATGTTTTTCTCTTGAAGGATGTGTATTTGTGCTTTGCTTCTGTGCGGAGGTCTGAGGGCTATGCTGATGCTTGTTTCCTGAGCACCCCGGCTGCACACATCTCCTAGGAGTTGGCATGAGTAGGAATTACACTTCCTGACTTTCTAAAAGACTGATTCCAGGTGGACTTGAAGATAGTTGAAACTTTTTTTTTTCGGTCAAGGAATATATGGCTTTAAATATTCTTAGCAAAATAACAGCATCAACAAGTTGATGAAATACTCTTAAGACTTCTTAAAGTATGAAGCACAAAATGTTTAGCAATGTAAGACAATTTATGGAAGGTCAGACATTTTTAAATGACCAATAAAATATCCTTAGAAGTGATGCTCACATCCTTCTGAGACTTTATTAAAGGTTATTTTTGTAGTGCATTGTCACTAAAACTATCATGACACTTTTTTTTAAGCTAGGAGCTAAAGTATGATTTGTGCACTAGAAATTGAAGGTCTAGATCACAAAGAATGTCCCAAATAATACCTAATATTAATGTAATTTTTAGGAATGTTTCTGCCTGGCATTTTAGAAACAAGTCAACTTCCCTGCAGAGCCACTAAATGTACTTTTGAACCTATATTACTAATATAAAGTGCTGAGAATGGTACCACATACCTGTAGCCCCAGCGCTTTGGGTGGCTGAGGCAGGAAGGTTTCAAGTTTGAGCCCAGCCTGGGTAATGTGAGACATCTCAAAATTTAGAAAAAGAGTGGATGTAGCTCAGTATGAAAGCCCCGGGTTCAATCCCCACTACTGTGAAACAGTAGAAACTGCCTATTTTCATTGACTATGTTGGAGTTTATTAAATTCCAAGTTTGATGCTGAATATTAACGAATCCACAAAATGTGTCACAGTTTCCTCTAGTTAATGAAAGGGGAGGGGGCCGGGATTTAATGAGAAGCACTGCAGGTTTGTTGTGTGACCCAGGTGCGGCTAGCGTGGTGTCTCAGGCCGGGCTGCTGGCGTGTGTGCCTCTCCCCCTTGCCCAGCTGCTGCGGGGTGCGGCGGGCGGGCAGAGACCCAGAGAGCTGCGGCAGGCGCCCTGTGTGCAGGGTGCAGGCGAAGGAACGGCTCGTGTTGTTTTTTCCGTATCTAAGTCACTGAACATCAAGTCCATAAATTAACAATTCCTTTCTTCAAACACCCTTGGGAGATTGTGCTGCTGTGGCTGTTCAAATGCGCAGCGGCCCTGCAGGCGCCTCCGAGGCAGCGCAAGGGTGAAACCTGAAACGCGAACTTGACAGGACTTTGAGGTGGCGCCTGCAGAGACGCTGCTGACTGCCCACTATTTCTGGCATAAACATGCACGAATTTTTGCGAATTCATGCAAAAAAGCCCTATTTGCTGTTTTATGTGATCTGGAACCATCCCATCTCAGGACAGCCTTCACTGCCGTTGTCCTTAACGATTCCAGTTTCGGATAGTGACTTTGGCAAGGATGTACTTTTTTTTTTAATTCTAGAAAACATGATTAAGATACCATTTCCTGCAGCTCACAGTAGAGGGCTATTGCATCTCTATTAATCAGACTCCTGCTGCCCTTTCTGCTCAATTTTAAACGCCAGCGCACAAGCGGGACTTGGAGCTCACCGATGCCTTCTACTCCAGCTCCGGCCCAGCCTCAGAGCTCAAAGCGGTGCTCAGGGTCTGCCTGCTGCAGCAAGTGGGGACCAGGGAGAGGACGGGACAGTCAGTGCTCGTCTCTCCCCGCGCGGGGGGAAGGTGACCGACACCGGGACAGCTGGTGCATAGAGAGGCTCCGTCCCAGCTGTGAGCACAAGGAAGCCACTTGCCACCGTCCACCAGCCTGTGCGCGCTTCCAAACCGAAACCGTGCTGCGCAGGCTCGGGAGCCGGGGCTGTGCGCTCCTCCCGTGCGTGAGTCTGCGGGCGAGTCCCTCCATTAAGGAAGAAATTACACAGGACACACTGTCTCAGCAGAGAGCCATTTCTTAAAGACAGGAAACTTTCCTTTAGACACCGCATGTGGCAAAATACTGAGCGCTTCTATGTGGCTGTTTTAACGCGGGTCACAGAACTTTAATACGAGGCCGGAGACGTAGCTCAGTGTCACAAGCACCTGCCTGCCAAGTGCAAGGTCCTGAGTTCAATTCCCGGTACTCCCCCCCAAAAAACAAAAAAAAAAACCACAAAACTTTATATACCTACATATATCACAAATCTTCATTTTCATGTGAGATTATAAAAATATATGGTTTGTGATGTATTTTTTTAGAAGACAATATAGCTTCATTCATTAACAATTTAAAACAGACATTTTGTCAGGAGTGTTGAGGCATGCCTATAATCTCAACACCAGGGAGGCTGAGGCAGGAGGATCACTGCGAGTTCCAGGCCAGCATGGGCTACATGGTGAATCCAAGGCCAGCCTGAAATTTATAGCAAGATGATGTCTCCAAAAACCCCAAGGTAAATGAATACATGGCACGTTTTGAAAATCTAATATTGTGAAGTTTATTTGCATTAACATTTTTCCACCATCATAAAAGATACATTTGTTTGTTCTTTGTGATCAGAGGAAAGACATTTTGGAATGGATAACCTGTTTCTACTGTTCTTTAAAGGAAAAGGTAGTTTAAAAACCAAAACCCAAGTGCAAAAGTCTTCAGTAGTCCCCTACCTCCAGTGAACCCCAGCACAATATTCAGCGGTTAGGAAACTGGTAAGCCCACGCTGAAGCTCGCCTTCACGCTTTCCTCCCTCCCTCCCTCGTCTGCACGGAAGATCTGAAGTGCACTCCCAAGATGACGCCGCGGTCCCACCAAGGAACGGAGTCTAAGAGCAGCAAGGGTCACTGCTGCTCAGCCGCACGCCTCACACATAATGCACTCCGAGTCCCACCTACAACCTGCCCTAAAAACTAGTGCACAACTTCTCAAAGCCAGCTCTGGGTTTATCGTTCTTCCCTCAAAATTCAAGCCCCGAGGTCTTTGCGTTTTTAACTATGATTATTTTTCTTCATTGTAAAATGTACTTGGCTGGTAACACACCTGTAATCCCTGCACTGTGGGAGGCTGAGGAAGGAGGGTTGCAGTCCAAGCCCAGCCTGGGCAACTCCAAGTGATCCTATGTCAAAATTAAAAATTAGAAGAAGGGCTGGGGATGTAGCTCAGTGCAAAGGCCCTCGGTTCAATCCCCAGCACCACAAAACAAACAAGACCACTCTAGGCAACGTTATGTACCAGTACAGAAGATGCAGCTTTAAAGGTGTTTATTACGGTTTTGCTTGTACGAGAAACCCGGCATATAAATAATTTAAGGAGCAAAATGAAAGAGGTGATTTGAAGCAAGACAGACCCCCGGAGACAGGATGGCGGTCTGGGGGTTGGGGGGAGAAAGGCAGATGGGGAAGGGAGGGACAGGAGTACCAATGATTAAGACTCCAGTCTGAGAATTTACCAATTCCCCAAGATGAATTTGACTACGTACAGCAAACATATACCAATAACGAGAGAAAAAGGTGTTTATTATAAAAATTTTAGGGTTGATGCTTTGGACTCTTAAATAAATCATCTCTTTAATAAAGGTCTCTAAACTCATTTCAAATTCTCTTAAACTTTTGGAAGGTATTTGAAATACTGATCACTCTAAAAACAGTTGCAAACTTGACAAATTCATCAGGACAAATTTAAAAAACATTTAGATAAGCTCATTAATACAACACAACACTTTATGACTGTTATACATTATTCTCCCTAATTTATTTCCATTCTTGGACCTTCAAACCAGCTTGAAATAAATACCAAAAATTTTAAGTGCAAAAATGAGTAATGCATGATTTTAACACTTTGGAAACACTTAAAATCAGTAAGTATTTTCCTGTGGCTAAAAAAACTAATAGAAATCACCAACCCTGTATATGTGTGTGGGCTTTAGCTTGTAACAAATACAGCTAGCCTAGAAAATGTGTGTCTTATTCAGAGAGCATTAACACGTTCCCACTGGCCTGAGCCACTAGTGGTGATGCATGTGTCCCCGGGGCAGCTTGTACCACTGCTGGTACAAATAGATCTCATCACCTTTATTGGTCTTTCTACTAATAAAACTGATAAAAAGCCACCCGAGGGCAGTCATGCATGTACTACCGGTGGCACCCGGCAGCAAGACGAATTACAGCCCCGTAGTGAACGTGTTAAATAGATAGGGTTGTCCAAAATACATGGGTTGGTTTTGCTTTCTTCTTTTAAACTTACAAGAATGAATGTATCCACATTCCACTTAAAAATAATTAGATGTGTGTACTAATTATTAGGAAGCGAGTTCAAATATTTGGAATTTGTTTAAAGTGCTGAGATTTAGAAGAGGACAATCTAAGCATGCCATACCCTATGAACGTAACAAGGACTCTTAAAACGCAAGTTTAGAAAAAAAAAAAAATAGAGGTTCTATGAAAGGAAGATTAGTACCAAACATTCCCATTGAAGAAAGAATTCAGGTAAAAACAAATAGCACCACAATGAATTGCACTAAGGTGCTAAAGGAGGTACCTTATTCCCTGCAGTGAGCGCTCCCTCTGAAATGTATTGCCACACACAAATGTAACTGCCTAATGGTTACCATTTGGTTCATTCGTCTACAGAAAACTGCATTCCTTCTAGTTCATTATACGGAACACACATTCAAATTACTGAACTATACATAATGTTACATAGTTTACATTTTATGAAAACAAAGCTCAAAGGAGTATTTATAAATGTCACCTTGAATATAAGGTGACCAGTTTAAAAGGGCTTTATATCTCTTAAGACATTTACTTTACGTTAATGGTCCAGGAGTGTTAGATTAGATATAGATACAGATATATTTATATGCATATATATTTCAACAAGTGTGAAAACTTTTAAAAACAAATCACAGCACTGACAGCTGCTTTACATACGAAGGTCTTGGGGTCAGTAAGGTGTCAACTGTTACACTTAGATTCTAAAAAGACTGAAAATGGCACGTCAGGAAACTCGAAGCAATGCTTCTCAGAGCCCCGGTTCTTTCACCCTGTTATTGATGTGTCGATTCAATGCCTGATTCCCTTGTCTCCACTGACAGTGTTTGTCCCTTCGGTTTGGATTCACTTCTGGGGTCTCTGTGTTCTTTTCTTGATTACATGACAGCATTCTCCTTCTCAGTTAAAGGTCAGGAAAGCGGCTTGGGTCTTCCTTGTAGTCTTCAGGTATGGTAAAGATGGAGCCATCAAACTCATCATACCGAAACTCCTGAAAAGTCACAGTGGCTGTGATCGTGGGAAACACAGGTATATCTGGACAGAAAACATCAGAGAGAAGAGTGAGCAGTTAAATGTTAAGACCACAGGCACTAGCAGAGATGACGGTACTCCATCAGGTGGAAATAAATCTATCTATACACAAAGGAGCACACAGAGTTGCATATCACCCTTGAAGCAGCATGGCCGGGCAGGGAGGTGCGGGGCAGAGGGCGGGGGCAAAAGGAGCAGGGGGCAGGGCGGGCAGGAGCAGCAGGAGCGCCTGGAGCAGGAGGAGCAGGAGGAGCAGGAGCAGTAGGAGGAGCAGGAGCAGTAGGAGGAGCAGGAGCAGTAGGAGGAGCAGAAGCAGTAGGAAAAGCAGCAGCAGTAGGAGGAGCAGCAGCAGTAGGAGGAGCAGGAGCGGCAGGAGCAGGAGGAGCAGCAGGAGGAGCAGGGGCAGCAGCAGGAGCATCAGCAAGAGCAGGAGCAGCAGGAAGAGAGAGTAGCAGGAGCAGGAGGCTGAAGGCAGCACCGGCCGGCACCACCCACACCATGCACGCTGAGCAGAGGACACCAGTGCTGGGACTTCCGGGAGACTTCTATCACATTACAACACATTTACCACTCTTATCTCTGAACTGATTTATTTTCATTTTTACTAACTCTTGAGAAATATATCAATCTGGTACTATTTTAGAAGACTAAAAACAATCCATCACTTAAATACATGGGCTAATCAGACGCAACAGAACTGGAGTAACAGTAATATTCTAAATGAAATGGGTTTCTCGCTGAAATTATTAGTGAAATCTGACATTAATAAAGTGCAAATACATGAATCCTACTCAGCTGTGTTTCTATATGAATTATTGCAAACAGCCTGGGCTTAGATTCCTACACGTCATCTTTATGTAGGCGACTCCAGGACTGTATTTATAAAATAGTTATAAAAACGAACTCAGATGTTTGCCTACTGCAAAGATACATAAACATTAACTTCTATCTTTAGGGGCCTAGTTATTTTCTTTTTTTTCTTAACTTGCAAAAAATAAGATCTTCCTGGAGGAAAAAAACCCCACAAAACCTAAAAAACAAGAATCAGAAACTACACCACAAACATGGAAATTACGACCAGCAGCTCCCTGGGCGCTGTGGGAGGCGGGGCGGAGACTGGGCTCTCCGCCTTGCTGATAAAGCACAGGCTAGGGTCTCTCAGAAACTGCACGAAACTCAACCTTCAGAGTTCAGCACTAGCTCCACGGCCGACCTATTCATTTCCTGTCTCCTGCCTTCCTTCTTCAAAATCTCCTGCGACCTAAGTCAGCAGCAGCAAAGCCAGAGCTCCCATTGTCTTTCCGAGGTTGCCACCTCCCCCGGAGGGTCTACAGTTCACCTCAGGGGGAGCATGGGCCGGCAAATTCAGAAGTCACTAGTCACTGTGACGTGATCTAGAGAAGGTCTGCTCCACAGGAACAGCGGGTCCCAGGGCTGGGGAGAGCCCGGGAACGGCAGGAGGAAAACCTCTGCGACCTGACAGGAGGAACCCCGGGGCTACCGGGGAGGTGCGCAGGGGCTGCCGGGGAGGGCCGCGGCAGGAACCATCCCCCCCACCCCCGGCTGCTCCTCTATGGGGAAATCCATCAGGGGAGCTGTGACCTCGGCGGCACCCTGGCTGTAGCAGATGGGGTGCAGAAGACGCAGGCACAGAGGGAGCCGCCGCGGGGGCAGGAGGACACCAGTACCAGGTCACTCACTGCAACGCGTCCCAGGAAGCAGCGACTATTGTAGAAATCCAGCCGGAGCAAACCACAGCACTTCGCGCTTTGCCTTTTAAGTGCCCGGCGACTTGACCCCAGGCCTCCGCCTGCGGATCACCCCAGCCACCCAGAGTGCCGTGTCCGTGAGCTGCGCTCCGAGGTCATATCACTGCAACACCGGGAGAGATCACGGGCAGCCGCTGCAGGACCGAAGGAGGCGAGCAAACTCTATGCGCACAGCAGTTCCGAACGCAGTGGTAAGGACCGGCGCAGGCGGCCTCCCTGCAGCTTTCCTCGCAGAGGGACAGTACCGTCCACGCCCGCCCCTAGTCCCTGCTGCGGCCTCCGCCCGCTCTGCCCGCCCCGAATGCTGGGCTTTGCCTCTTACAAACACTGAGGCTAGGTAAGGGCACTGGTGTCCCAGAACGTATGTGAGAACAGCCTTCGCCTATCTGCTTCATCAAAGAGGTCAGCTGCACGGTCAAGCTGTGTGTGGTGACACGTCGGAATCCCAACACTTAGAAGGCTGAGGCAGGCGGATTGCCGCGAGTTCCAGGTGAGCCTGAAGTACCTCAGACCATGTCTCAAAAAGCCAAAAAATGTAATAAAAATTTTAAAATCAAGTGAAATAGGAAAATGTACATCCTTTTAAGTCCCTTCACTTTCCCTCCTTTATTATATAATTGTAAAGAGGAAGAATGAATGAGGATAGAAGAGTAGATTTCCAAATAACAGGGCTATGAAGAACAGCATTAAAGCTGGGAAGAATTATCATGAGTTGGCCGGTTGAATCTTAGAAGGTCAAAGACCTAAAAAACTACTTAGGTCAAAGACCTAACTACCAGGAGGGAAGGAGAAGTGGGCAGCAGAGGCAGCTTTTCGCAAGAGCTGGGAGGGGACGGCCCTGCGGACGCGGGCCAGGAGGCCGACGCGGAGCACAGGCGAAGGGGCTCGGGAGGGGCGTCCGCGGGCCTGGAGTGCGGAGGAGGGCGCCTGACCGACGCGACACAGCAGCACAGCCTCCGCGCCCAGCAAGGAAGGGGCGGCCGATCGTGTGACCCCGGCAGAGCGAGCGAAGCCGGGCTGACGTGCCCGTCAGGAAAAGCGGGAACATCGCCAGTGTTTACACATTTTCTCCTCAGTTTTCTGAGTTTAGAAACAGAAGTGGAACAGGATGAAATCAATGCAGGAACGGAGTTTTGTAAGGCAGCTCAAGAGGCTGAAGGGCGAGGAGCGCGGCGCCCAGCAGAAGCGCCTGCGAGAGGCGGCGGGGTCTCTTCCCACAAGCAAACCGCTCCTGTGCAAGACTCGGTACTGTGGCGTCTGGTTTCGCGTGGAACTTACAGTGAGACCTGCAGGCCGGAACAGCGTGCAGCTCTCACCCGTTCCAGCTGCCCTCTACCCGGCAGAGCAGGGAGTCCCACAGCCAGGACGACCGGCCGGAGCCGCGCCCTGCAGGCAGCTCCCTCACCGCCGGGATCCCAAGGCCTTCTTCACCACAAGGGCCACTAGCATGTCATTTTCAAAGTTATCTTAAAACTGATTTTAACCCGAAACAATGTTTATGTCCAAGTCTGGAAAATTGAGGCCAGGTTTAATTAACACATAATTTGAGAGTAAAGCACGGTGCCTAATGATTCCGGTACATGTTTATGTGTGGGTGTAACAGGCAATGGAACAAGATGAAATCTTATCTCCACAATTGTGTAAGGGCTGCACTGCTGTGAATATAGTCCTGCCTCCTCCCAGACTGCCTGCCACAGACGAGCACCCGCGGGCAGGGTTGGTGGACAGCATCGAAGCTCCGAACCGACGGAGACCACTATGAAGCAACCCTGAAAAGAACTTAACCAACTGGCTTTTTACGTTCACTCGTGAATCTGGCCAAGGCCTAGGCTCCTTGTCTGGAAATGGACGGCCAACTCATAGTAAGTGAACCTCTGAGAGTCATTAAGGCCTGTAACGGTGGATGCAGCCAGAAAGCCTCACAGAATAAGACAAATCACAGGATAAGACACCTGGATCCAACTAGATAAAGACTGCAGCCTCAGGCTTCTCACTCCTGGGTGGATGAACTTAATACCTTACTTGGAGAAATCCTTGAGTGGTACCACCCTTCTTGAGTACTCCCCTCCCTTCTTCTGATAACCAAATAAATACGGGCCACCCAGAGAAGGTCTTGGTCTTAGCCCAGAGAGGATCTGGAACTCTTGGTCTTAGCCCAGAGAGGATCTGGAACTCTGTGAGAGGGCTTTGATCCTCCTGGAGCCCTGAAATCATTCCATCTGCCTCTTTCTATTTAGCTTTCGCTGTATACTTGTTTGAGATTCTGGACCTCATCAGCCTGCCACAAAGGGATATTATTAACCCAATACTAACCTTCACCCTAAAGGCGTAAAAAACCTTTTATTTAGCTCTTGTCCCCAGTTTTCTGGTATGTTAGAAAGTTAAATACTGGAAAAAAGGAAAGGTTACTGTTTCGAAAGAGCAATGCTTAACATGAAATTAAGTGCAAGCATTAGGACTGAAAAACTGAATGTGCGACTATCACCTCATCCATCAACAGTGGCTACTGTGTCCAGGGAAACTCCTACTCTGCAGAACCCCACAGCAATGCTGCCAACTGGGCTCGGCCACACAGAGCATTGTCACACTGCACTGTTAGTTCATCCACACTTTGTGTATGAAGTATTCTCATCTACATCAGGTAGAACTAGAGCACTCCGCAGGCACTTTACATGCATGGCAAAACATCAGTATTCAAGCTCTTAAGAAAGGTATAAAAATGTGCACAACTAGGAAATTGTTATGGTTTGTCTGTGTGTCCCCCCAAAGCCTCATGCGGCCATGGGGCAGGCTTTTAAGAGTTAATTGATTGTGGGTGTGAGAGCCACACCCACCCTGGGGTGGAGAGTTTGCATAGTAAGGGAGAGGAAAAGGGTGCTTGAGGCCATTTCGCCCTGGTGTGGGCTTGTTGCTTTGCTGTGTTCTGCCGCCCTGGGCTGTAGCTCTCTGCCATGTGCCAGTCTGCCTTATAATCTGCCAAGTATGGACTAAGACCTCCACAAACTGTAAGCGAAATAAACCTTTTCCTTCCTTAATTTTGGGCATCAGGTATTTTGTCCCAGCAACGAGAGAAAAGTAACCAAGACAGAATTCTATCTTCCTTTACTACAAACTTCTCATTTAACTCCGTATGTCTAACAGACATCATAAAAATTACATCTGAATGTTTTTCTTACCTAATTTTACAGGAAAGCCTGGAGGAAGCTTCATCTGAACAAATTCTCTAAGCTTGTTAAAGTGCTTGAAAGGAGCTATTACTTCTAAAACATTCAATAATCTGAAAAATGGAAGAAGACAAATTACTTTTATTGTTCAAACTGTTTCATGTGTTCTTAAACTTCAGATTTCAAACTTAGTAGTATGGACTTAAAGATTTTAAGGATGAGAAAATGGCATACTTTCTTGCCTCCGGAGCTGTTTCTACTATTCTTTTTAGGAGGGCAAGGTTCATGAGTGTCATCTCACTCAGCCACAACCTCGCCGGTTACTGGAGGTGAGCCTCTTCTTCAGAGATTCAGGGTGTGCAGCTACGTGCTTCCTACGCAGTCCTTGGTTCTCCATTACGCTCATGTTTGGGTGGGGGGATGGCGCTGTCAACTCATCACGTGTAAAGGGCTCTTGGGTGCTTAACAGTGACTTCCTGCATATTTGATAAGTGTTTCCTGTCTGTAAAGTGAAATCTGGCTCGAATAAGCTTCAGGTTACATTTACCATCTTCTCCTCTGAACTAGAACTTCGCATCTGCCTCTTTGTATTTCATGTTACCAGTGACTATGCTACAACTCCCCCATCTAGTGGGGTGAATTTCATTTGAGCAGCATTATTTTTCTTCCCACAAAGGCCTATGCTTGATACACTATAGCACTTGTGAAATTCTTGTTTCTGAGAGTTATCTTCAGTTTGCTCAGGTGTATTTGACATCTTACCTAGATATGCTGATCATATTTTCTTTGCTTTTATCATATGCAAAAAACATTTTAAAAATCTACGACCAATCTACCTTCACCTCTTTCCTGCCTAAATGCCTTTAGATTTCTTTAACAACTGAAACCCAACAGTTTAATCAGGGTAATTGTTGTTAGTGATTATTCTCTATCGATTTTTCTTAGAACCCCATGTTACCCTATAGATTCAGTTGTTCCTTAGAGGAATTTTTTCTTCTCTCCTGTTTCAAATACCATTTCAGTTACATTTGGGGGCTTTCAATGTAAGTGGAACGCCAGTGCCTCTCCCGTTACATCTTTGTTCGTCTGTCGTTCTAATCCCTTCCATCTGTTCTCCCCCTCAGCACGGGCTGTCAAAGCTGTACGTTCAGCCCCCTCTGCTCCTTCACTGCTGCCCCGCGTGTGCGTTCTGCGCGGTGCTGCTCGGGGCGCTGCTGCAGCTCTGCCCTCTTTTCGTTGTAGTCTTGTCCTGCAGCTCACCTTGAAAGTGCCTAAGTTACTGATTTCAATTCTTTATGTTTTTCCACAGTATTTACAGAAAACTCTCTTCCGTTCATTGACCGGTCTCTTCTTCTAGAATGCATTCTTTGTCTGGCTTTTCATGTGGTGGCTATTTTTGTTTTGTGCTTTGTGTCTGCTGCTGTTTTTTTTCTTTTTGGTGGTACTAGACACTGCACATACGGCCACTGTATCCGCTGGGCAAGTGCTCTATCACTGAGCTGCAACCTCGCTCCCCTTTAAAAACTTTTTTTTATTTTCAGACATAGTCTACCTAAGCGACTGCTGGGCAAAAACTTGCAATCCTTCTGCCTCAGCCTCCCAAGTAGCTGGAATTTTACCACACCAGAAAAGCTGACTTTTCTTATTTTACTGTTTTTCAAGAATAGTAATTACAAGTGCTATGCCTTATAAATACTAAGATACTCACTTTTTTTCACATAACACCTCTGAAATTGGCATTACTCTTAAACTGGTGTCACAGTAAAAAACTGGCCTTGTCTTCTTCTGTAGTAGGAAGCAGAATACAAAAGTGGCAGTCATGGTGTGCCCTGGCTCCAAGCCAGGATGAACACACAGGTGTATGTGTGGGAAACTCACCCCCGAGGTCCTGGTTCCTGAGTCTGACCTCTCTGACCGTATCTTTAAGGGTATGCAGAACTTTCTAAAGCTTAGGAACAGGAGAGTCTATGCTGTACACATGAACTTTTTGAAAAATATAGGACCTACTTTTTTTTCTAGAGAAAAACAATTTTAAGGTATTAGGTATTTTCCTTTTATTTTTTTAAAGTGTATTAGATTTAAGGATGATCAGGGAAAGAGAAAACAACTCCATGGCCACCCTCTGTCAGTGGAGAAGATACTACAGTTCTAGCAGGAGTCAGGTCTACCTGGGTGCTACGGCACACATGCGTCTAATCCCAGCTACCTGGGAGGCTGAGGCAGGAGAATCACAGGCTTGAAGCCAGCCTGGTCAACTCAGTAAGATCTTGTCTCAAAATGAAAAATAGGCCGGGCGTTGTGGTGCATGTCTGTAATCCCAGCACTTGGGAAGCTGAGAGAGGAGGATCGTTGCGAGTTTGAGACCAGCCTGGGCTACAAAGTGAGCTCAAGGCCAGCCTGAACTATATAGTGAGACTCTGTCTCAAAAAGACAAAAAAAAAAATAATAATAATAAAATAAAATAAAATTCAAATTAAGGAGGTTTTTTTTTTAAAAAAAAAAGGAAGAAATGAAAAATAAAAAAAGGTTGAGATGTAGGTCAGTGCAAGGCTCTGGGTTCAACCCCCAGTACCAGAAAAACAAATACATGAATGAAAAGAGTCAGCTCTGGCTAGCCACCTCCCCATGCCTCCAAACTGGGTTTTTTAAGGGAAACGGAGAACGGGGTGATACAGGTCTGAAGGGAGATATTCCAAATGCTCCCTGCAATACTGTTTATAATAAGGATGAACTAAAAATATCTAAGAGTATACCAGTAAGGGGATATAACATGAATGACAGAAAACCAGAGCTATAACACCAAGGAAAAAAGGAGTTAGACAAAAGTGTAGTTACTGTAAAAACTCCAAAATATACTTTGAAAAGAAAGACCTCAGAAAAAAATAAACTTTCCTATGTTTATAAAAAGGCAAAGACATTGGTAAGTCATTTGCTGTTGATGTGCAAAAGAAAACCACCAGTGTTTATCTATAAACTTCCACGCTTTTAGAGTCTCTTACAAGCATGTGTTTGTGTGTGTGTTTAAAAACTTGGAGACACTTCCCACGCGTCCGGAGGAAACGCCGTTAGCACCCCGGCAGCAGGGACGGCGGGCCAGGCGCGCGGCGCCAAGGCACCACTCCGGCGGAAGCGCCTCCCGGCCCTCGGCTGCACTGCGCCTCCCACAACCGCGCGCAGCCGCAGCACACTTACGACTCGATTCCTAGGGGAAATTCCTGGCTCATGGCGATGGTGGCTTTGAATGTTTTCTTACTCTCTTTGCACACCAGTTCTCTACCCAGATGAGGAGCTCTAAAATGAAAACACACAACGAAAACAAAGAAAGAAAATGTTAGCACACTTGCTTCGTAGGACACCATCAGTTCACTCTTCCTTACCGTCTACAGAAATACAATTATGCTAAAAGGGAAGAGAATGTGTATAAGCAAAAACAGTAACAGGAAAGTGCAGACTGAAAGTACAGAAGGAAACGATCAGACCACATCACCGCTCACTGCACAGTGAACAATACATCTGAATCCTACTAATCACTATTCTGAGGAACCAAAAACATCAACAAGAAAAACAGACTTTAAAAGTCTCATTCACCTGGGTGTGGTGATACATGTCAGGAGGCTGAGGCAGGAGGCCCTCAGTGAGTTCGAGGCCAACCTAAATTATACAGCAAGACCCAGGCTCCAAAAAGAAAAAGTATCGCTCTGCATCCTTAGAATCACTCAGTTCTACCTCCTTTATTGGCTACCAGTCTCACCATTCATCAGTAAGAAACACTGCCAAAAACAAAGAGTTCTGTATACTAAGCATCTCCAAAGGCCAAAATTGTAACGGGTTTAAAGGTCTAACCCATTTTTGCTGTTCTTTTCTTACTTAGGATAAAATACCCCACGCTGTAAAACAGAACTAGCGTTCCGATACGCTGAGCCGCGGAGGCTGGCTGCGTAGATACCGCGGGCAGGAGAACAAAATAAAACCAGCCGGCTGTTTCGGCTCGGCTTCCTTGGAGTTACAAGAGAGGGGCTTCCTCAGGCCCCACGCGCCGCCGCGTCTCCCGTGGTGGACGGCCGGGGCCGTGCGGCTCGCAGCGGAGCTTGGCGCCCGGGTGCGGGCAGCCTGCAATGCGCTCACCGCCGCGTGCGTGGGCAGAAACGCTGGGCCAGAAAACTTCCCGCAGAGAAAGAAAACGACCACAACTCCTCCCGAAGGATGGGCTGGCCCGACTTCCTCCTCTACCGAAAGGAAGCACGGGCTGGCCGGGACGCTTCCCTGAGCTCACTCGCTCACACCGAACGCTCCCCCCATCACGCGCCTCGGGGTGAGGAAACGCGCCGCGCACAAGCCGCGGGCTCCGCGCTGCAGGGCCCGGCGAGATGCAGCCGCTGGGCGGCTCCCCGCGCGGCCTGCCCCAGGGTCAGCGGTCCGCGGCCGCTGCAAAGGGTCCGTGATCCGCAATACTCGACACTCATCACGCTTCACGCGTATTTTTAAAAGGTAAAAACAATGCTTCACACAAAAAATACCAACGATTATCTCTAAAATAAACTATTGCACCCAAATATACAGAGACTGTTTTAACGAATGACTCGTTTGAAAAATCAAAGAAGACGTAAACTAGAAGAAGAAAGAAAAGTCACCTACTTTCCGTTCTCCGCAGATATGTATTCTTCCCACGTAATAGTGTTCTGAGGAGGGGGCGTCAGCGACTGTCTGCGAACCGGCTGCCAAGACAAAAGAGCAGGGCGGAGCGGGGAGAAGGGTGTCATGCACCTTAAGTACAAAATGAAAGCACACAAAAGCCCAAGGGGCGTCCCGCTCGCTCCAAGGCAGAGCACAGGACGACACTGAGGAGGCCGCGTGCGGAGAGCGGATGGAGGGGGCAAAGAGGAGGAAAAGAAAACACTGTAAACTCAAACCACCAATCAGCTTCATCTCTTGGAAAGAAAAATGATGCTCCTTCCAAGACAGCTCCACAGAGATGTGAGCTCTGATGGAAATACTGCCTTTCCCTAAACCCCAGAAGAGCGCACCTGTACAAGTAGCAGCGCCCACCCTCCCAGGCTGCGACCTCTGCGCGGCTCCCAGCCCTGCGGCAGACGTGGGCACGCAGAGGCAGGACACGGGAGCTACGGAAGTGGAAGGACTCTGACTTCAAGGGCCTCAGGATTCAGTTGAAAAGAAAAAAATACAGAGATGAGGAGTTCAATAGAAATTCTACACACATACACTGCTAGGGACATACAATATATATGTGAAGTTTCAAAACCCAGGAGAAATAAAAGTGAAAACACAAATGCATTTACTTCAACCGGGGAAGAACGTTCATTTCAGCCTGTTTCTGTGAAACACGCGTGTGGACGCCTGCAGGAGAAATGGGCGACAGGGTGCAGCGGGGAACTGACAACCGGGGAAAACTCCCAGCACAGGAAGCGCTGGGTGAAGAGTGACCTGACGGCAAGGGCCTCTGCGGAGAAGCAGTGTGAGCACCGCGTACACGAGTCAGTAAGGCAATCTCTTAGGGTGGTAACAATCAAAGATTTTCACGACACAGGACCTGATTAGAATCTCGGCTCCAAAACCTGCTAACTGTGTACTTGGGCAAATCATCTTCTACTGTATTCATTTAAATACATGTAACATAGGTCTGTGGTCATCTACCTCACAGTTGCAAATCTGAGGAAACACAAGGAAAGAGCTTAGAGCGTGACGACGGTAAGGGGCTCAGCGACACTCGGAAGGTCCCAGGCCGCAATTACAGAACGAAAGGGAAACAAGAAAGGGCCTTTAGCTGGACCTTCACAGCAACAGGTTTTGGTGAAACAGAAGACCTGGAACGTGAAGTAAAAATTAACACGGGCTTTCACACTTACAAAATGAGCTCAGTCTATTTACTAACAAACACTCAGGGACCAAGGACGGACTCACAAGCAATACCAAAAGCCACTTTTCCCTTTTCCTACATGGCAATGACTTCAGGAAAATGAAGGCGCACAGAAAAGCGCAAGGCCAAGCACAGTAAGCAAACCTGGGAGGACATTTACACGAAGTTCCCAGGTTTCAGGACTGAAGTCGGCTCCCCCTAGGCTCCCCGCTACGGCAGCGATCAAGAAGTACCTCAAAGTTCTGCTCCATTAGGTTTCCGCCTTTGCTCAAACTCTCCATCATGGCCTTATTCCGGAGAATATCCTCTTCACTGAGATGTTCTCTTCTCTTCCTTGACTCTAAAACAAGTCCATTCACCAGGTAAAAGTCTGCCAAAAAGTTTCCTACTCTTTCCTAAAACAAAATCAGATATTCCAAAATAATAAACCTTGTCTTAGATTTTTAAAAGTCTTGAGGTAATAGTGTCTATAAACATGTAATATGTAGATGAAAATAAATGTTCCTTTAGTACATGAAATTATCAAATTACTTTACATATTCTATTAAGTTAACATTTCCAATTTATAAAGGAAACTTTACAACACACAAACATGTATGGTAGTTCATCTGCAAATGAGCCAAGTCCAGATAAAGACACTACTGAGTACTGCTTCATAACCTACTCCCAAGTAGCCCAGAGTGATCTGGAAACTGCATCACACCGACAGCCAAACATCACGACTAAGGAGGGGTCAGGGATAGCACTGTTCCCATTTTATAGATAGAAAAAAAGGTGGAACGAAAACCAACAGTCCAACCTGAACAGCAATCTCCAGTATAACTGGAATTGAAGGCCTGCTCAAATTCCCTATCAGGACTAAACTTGAAGCTACGCTGCTTGCTGCTTTCAGAGAAAGAAGAGAAGATAAAGCGGGCTTGCTCAGCACACGGTTAGGTGTTTCGATCTTGGATCGGGCACAGGGCAACTCCAGTGACAGAAAGGCGGGGAGGAGTGGTTCCTGCTTTTCAGGGGAGCATTCCAACCTTCAACACTGACCTCACCTTCACAACCCCATGGCTGCTGAGTCTGAAATACCTTACTCTACAGGAAAACACCACGGGCCCACTAAAAACCAGCTTCTCACTCCTGCTGCAAGCACGTGACTTAGTCTCCGGCTTGCAGCTCTTTTCCGGCACCCGGAACTATGTGTTTAGGGCTTGTCTCCAGGTGCGCCTTGCCTTGGTAGCCTCCTCACTCAACACCAGAAAGCAGAGCATGGGTACCAGTTTCTACCTACAAAATGGGAACCATCAGCGTTACTGACTCCCTCCTTACCTGTCAGAGATTTAAGGAGATCACCTAGACGCTGTTCAAGAGCTTTGAGCTGCTTAGTTTCAATTTTTATCTTCTCCTGAAGATCCATCTAATGCTGTCCAGAAGAAGAGTACAGAAGTAAGACTTAGCTACAAATGGACTGCGATGCAGGGTCTGACAGCTGGCATTCTATGGTGCCATTTGTTGCCAAACAGGCTTAGAGAAGAAAACGGACAGATCCAGGGCTCGCAGATAGAATTTGCCTCTGGCTAGGGAGTGATTATCAATTTGGAAACTATATAATGAAAAAGCACTTATTAAACGTAAATCATCTTATTAGTAAAAGTTTTAAGTATATTTTCCCCGTTATCCAGCCATTTCAATTCCTGCTACCTGTAACTGACAAGGCAAAGGCATCTGGAAGGACAGTAAATACATCATTCACGTGGCAGAAAACTGGACGTAGGTATGTTGGTTTATCTAAATGCCCCACGGTAAGATAGATAAATTTCAATATATCCACAGTACGAATCTTGGGCAGGGTCACGCTACGTAGTCCAGACTGGTCCTCAACTCGCAGTAACCCTTCTGCCTCAGCCTTTAGCATACTGGGTCACAGGCATGCGCACCACGCCCAGCCACGCATGCTTAAGGGCGAAGTAGCACTATGTGTAATGGTAAGAGAAGGCTTCTATCACAGTGCAGAGTTAAAAGCCTATTTGCAAAGCTATAGTGCGACACTTCATGAAAATTAAGCATCAAACAAAAAGGTACAAATACAAACAGTTAACCTCAGCAAAGGCTTCTGGGATTGTAGGCATGGATAAAGGGAGACTTTGCCGCCTTACCTATGAAGTCTTATGACAGTTAATTCTATTGGATATTAACTCAGCTAGGCTCAGGTCCCCAGCTGTCACTCAGGGCGCCGTATCACGTGCGAGACACCCAAAATATAACTGAGCAGCACAGTAACAGGTCACAGGAGGGAGGGGCATAGATCTCCAACAGGAAGGCGATCAAGAGCTGGAGGGAGAGGGGGAGCGGAGGGGAGGGAAAGGGGACGTGTGATGTCCGTGGACCAACTCCACACGAGTCTAACTGCGTGCTGCAAACACGGACTAATAAATTAATAAAAGCAATGGAAGGAGGGTGCCGTGAAGGTATTTTATGGGTGTTGCTGGCACCTGGCAGACAGTGGACACCCAGACATTCTTCGTAAGTAACGCGGGCAGGCCTCATCTACTCCACCAAAGGCCTTCAGCAGTGACAGAGTTTCAAGAAAAAGCAGTTCGGCCTCAAAAGTGCAACACAGAAACCCTGCTGGAGTTTCCAGCCTGCAGATTTCTGGCTCAGAGTACATCAACCCTCCCCGGAAGCCCCAGCCTGTCGGACGGCTGTGAGGGCCTCGGCCTGGCCGTGCCCGACGTCCCGCAGGCCGCGTGGCCAGCTTCTCCCGCTCCCTTTCTCTCCCCTCTCCACGCCTTCTTCTCAATCTGCTATTAATTTTCTCACAGAATCTGAAAGCTTGGTTGGTTGCTTCTCCCTTGCGAATATATTCATTTCTCCCACATGTAATAAAAATATCATTTCTTACACTTGAATTTTAGAATTTACAAAAATATTTCTTATACATTTCATTCAAAAATTTTTGAATACATTTTGAACAGTCTTTTGTAACCTCTTGCTGACAGATGTAATGGAACTTAGGGAAAGAATACATAACTCACTAATGTAGACACTTCCTCTGAAATTTAACTTAACGACAGTGTGGTAGAAATACTGGCTTATTTAATCTGAGTTTATAAAGGATACAAGAAACATACTGAGTAAGTAAACGATTTAGAAGTCTGACAGTGAAAAGGTCTGTTTTTGGAATAAAGTAGAATATATAATGAAATCAGGTAAAAATACTTTTCCCTGAAAAAGAAGGGAGTACTAAAACTTCCTTCTAATATCAAATTCAAATGAGATAAACTTTCTCTCCGGGCTTTTCCAACTCTGCAATTGAACATTACAATCACCTCTCTGGATTCGGGGGACACAGGGTAAACTACTTGAAGAAAATTTAATAATCTACTTTCTCTTACACTGCTATCACATTATTTGGGTGACATTAAACACCAATTTTTAAACTTTAAAAATCTAGATTTGCACATACTGTTTTATCTTCCCGAAAAAGCCATCCAGTTTGGGCACGCGTGAACGAAATTGATTTAGTTGATAAAGTTGCAGAGTAAATATCGCTGCTCATTAAAATGTCAACCTCTTCTTCTGTTTCCATCTCTGATTCCTAGGGAGGGTGGAAAAATGAAGTGTAAGAAGCTGGGTTTTCTTCAAAAGTTGTTATAATGTGCTCATATGAAAACAGTAACAATTATAACATTACAGACTGCAAAAGACAAAAAGGACAGTTTCTTAATGTGAAGTGCTACTGATTCAAAACACCAATGCGTAAGTGCATACACCTGGTGTGCTCTCTAGTCAGTTAGAATTAAGACTAATTACAACTCTATCCAAGTGGCCACAGGAACGACACTGTCCGTGCACTCCTACAGATGTACAAAGCATGACAGCTACCTACTCCAGAGCTATGCAGTCTGTAGAGCAACCTTAGAAGATTAAGAGTAGCGTTGATAGACCTGAGACAAGATGCCCCTAAGGAGGTTTTGCTTTCTTTAAATACAGATGCTCCGACTTTAGGTCTTTTTTAATTCAGAAGGCCGCCACCATCTGAGCCTTTCTTTTTCAGTAAGGTCTACGGGGAAGGAGAGCAAGGATGGGTCTTCTGGATGTTTCTAATGGAAAGGAAAGGAATCCATGACCACCAGCCCAAGACTTCTAAACTTCACAGCAGCCTTGCCTCGGGTTTTATCTCCTACATGTGCCCTAGTGCTGGTACAAAGCAACTGGGAAATAATTATTTTTTAGGGGAGAAGAAAAGGAAAGCTTTGTGCCTGCATCGAGGACAAAAGACAGTGATGGGGAAGAGCCCGTGAGCACTTGTACGGTGCGGTCCTACTTCACAGCAGGCACAGGGAGAAGCTGGGGGGCGCCTGGCAACGGACTGTCACGGGGTGCACGGCTGGATGCTGCTGCGTGCGGCCCGGCTCGCAGGAGGCCCGTTTCTACTCTTCACCACCCGGTTTCACCAAGGTGCAACCCCCTCCTCAGCCTGGGAGTCCACGGGGAACAGGAGCCAGGGCGGGAACCTGATCGTTTCCTCCGCCCTTACACATGGAAGATACGAACTCCGACCTCACATGACCGCGGGAAGGTATTCCTAGCTAACATAACCTGATTCTGAACACAAATTTTTATTTAAAAAAACTTTTGCCTGGAACAGGGTGAGAAGAATAAACACTGCCCTCAACCCCAAGGCCTAGTCCGAACTCCTGTTCACTCCTTTGCTATCTTCCCTCTAACTTTGTCCTTAAAGCTTTCTTCCTCTTTTAAACAAATGTGTGTGTATGTGTGTGTGTGTGTGTGTGTGTGTGTGTACTATAAGTCAGCTAGAATTTTATGTATTAGCTTAAAAATTAAACATACACCACTGTCTATGAAGAAATACACTTTTATTTAATTTAAAAGGCAATTTTCAAATACACATTTAGAACACAGTTCTGGAATCAGAAACCATCTCCTACCACACACTGCAGCACACCTGCTCCAACGACGCTAGTGTGCGCTCATCAGAGCGCGTCCCCCTCAGGGTCCACCAGAGATCGGCCCAGACCCTCGGACACAAGGCCCGGGGATCGCCACGTGCTGTGTGCAGCACTGTAACATCTCCGCGGAATCTGTGCACATCTTCCCGGATACTTTCGATCACCTTGGGATTACCCCTAATACTTCATACACTACCAACGCTGTGTAAACAGTTGTCATGTTTACAGGACAATGACAAGGAAAGTCTGCACATTTCAGCACAGACGCAGCTTGAACTAAACTGCTGTAGCTCTACTACTGACTGACCCGAGGCCGCAGAACATGAGAATGCGAAAGGACTGCTGTTTTTCTGCCCTGAAATTACTGCTCAAAGCTGGCTCGCCTGTACCTCAGACAGCACACACACACTACCCTACCTACCCTTCCTCTGGACATCAATACTGTAACTCAGCGACCAACTCCCAGCCTTACCTGATTTCTCACTCACTGTCACAGTTCCAACTCACCTGCCGCTCTTGGCCACCCTGCTGCCATTTGACATTCAACAAGTCAAAGCACCTAGCAGGCATCGCAAAGCCCAGAACAGAGGCCGGCAAACTGCAACTGGCAGGCCAAACCTGTCTCACAGGCAGAACCGCAAGACCTCACAGCCATGCTCACTTACTACACGCTGCCTGTGGCTGCTGTAATTCAAGTAACCGTACGGGTGGAGCTGGACAGACGGGCGGCCCAGTGACACAGCCAGCACCACTGCGCTTTCAGGGGCACTCCCCACCATCGCCTAACTGCTGCGTCCGGCACCTGAGGATCCAAGTAAAAGAAGCCATGGCGAAGGAGGAGCTAAGCCACGCAGAGAGAAAGCTGCGTCACACTACCCTGAGAAGCTCTGCAGGTCCAGGTTTACTAAAGGCATAAAGCAAGCAACGGCCGCCTGGCAGGGAAGAAAGCGGCACCAAGAAGGTGGCCTTGGGTGTGAAATGCAAAGCAGGCATTCTGTCCAGAAGCAGAAACACTGCGAACAGAGAAATGAAGCTCAGAAAAAAGTTTAAAAAAAAAAAAAAAGGCAGCTCAAACTAGCCTGGCATGGGGCTGGGGACGTAGCTCAGCGGCACAGCGCCTACCTGGCAAGCGCAAGGTCGTGCGTTCGATTCCCAGTACCGGAAAACAAACAAACAAACAAAAAAACCAAAGTAGCCCAGCACATCTGAAAAACTATGATGAGCTCAGTGTGCAGTGCTTGAAGTACCAAGGTCACAAGAGAGCTAGGCCGGGCTGAGTGGTGCAATAGCACAGCACCTAGGGAGGCCGAGGCAGGACGGTCCCACATTGAGCCCACCCAGGGCAACTTAGTAAAACCCTGTTTCAAATCTAAAATTTTAAAAAAGAGCTCCTAGCATGTAGGAGGCTGAGGCAAGAGGTTCACTGAGAATCTGTGGCCAGCCTGGGCTACACAGTGAATTCCAGACCAGCCTGGAAAACATAATGAGATCCGGTATCAAAAAAAAAAGGAGCTGCAAAGGCCCTGAGCTCAATTCTCAGTACTGAAAAAAAATTTTTAAATTTAATTTAATTTTAAAAAGAGCCAGGAAAGAGTAAGAGTCAGGGCACAGAAGGAAACGTGCACGCTCCAGGGTTTGGGCGTCACTCTCTCGCAATGAGGAACTCTGAATTGTCTAAGGGAGGAGGGCTTGTCCGTGTGTCCTCAAGGGAGGGGCGGCAAGACCACCGTGGGGGTCTGCAGGGCGCCACCGGCCTACAGGATGGGCCACCGTCGGGGCTCACTACGCACAGAAAGGGAACCCGGGACAGGAGACAAGACGCCGCCCCAGGGTTGTGAACGGAGAGAGTGACAGCACTCTCAGGACGGAGAGAAGGGGCGCAGGGCCAAGTGAGGTGGAGGCAAAGCACTTGGGAGATCCGCGCAAGGCAGCGCCGTGAGGAGCCGAAACCGCAGCTCGGCTCCAGGCACAGGCCCTGGGACCCGGGCCGCCCGCGCTGCGGGCGCGCACAAAGCGGCACGGAGGGCGCACCCACCTCAGCGGGGAAGCAGGGAGAGACACAGGGAAAGGGGCGAGGGAGAGGAAGAGCAACCACCGACCCGGGCCACATCCAAAGACACCGAAAACTTGAAGACCCGAGAGACCGCGTAAGAGCAAAACCTCAGAAAGTCCACCAGAGCGGCTGAACAAGCACGGGATCTGGACCAGGGACGCACAACGACAGCCCCGCAGCCCCTCCCTGGCACGAAGCCCGCGATCTGCAGCGCCACCGTCACCCCCGGTTCGGCTGCGTCACCGCACTCAACCCGAGCGGTCCGGCCTCTCCACCCACTGCCTTCGCACTATCAGCAGTTCTAAAACGCCGTTCCTTTGCCTCTGCGCTGTGAGCGTGCCTCTGCAAGCTCACGACCGCGCGCTTGCACGCCTCTCCCTGCCTCCCGCGCTCCGCCGCGGCCTCCTCCACACCCACGGCCTGACCCTGAGCTACCTCCTCACACCTCCACGCCTCCGCTTCCCGTCCGCTAACCTCATCTGACCGGTTATTTTAAGGAGTTAAGGAGAAAAGCTGCAGAACACTTGCATTATAACCCTACTATGCTGGCAGTCACTGCCCAATACAGGGCAGTAACTGGCGTCAGCATTAACATGACACCGCTATGCACAGCGCCCGTGGGGTCTACACTCACCAGGTCCTTAATAAACGTTTGAGAAGAGAAGCAAAGCAAAGGAAATATGTTCGATCATTTCATCTACATTTTGATCAAACCAATAATCCTTAACACTCTGTTGCCAACTGCAGATCCTAAGCCATCATTCCTCCTTTTTAAGGTTCTTCATGAACTCATCTCTCACTCGACCCAAGACAGCCTCGCTGCCCTCAGGTGGATCTCGCTCTGCTTCTCAAGCAGACCATTCCTACCTCTGCTTCCCTGTACTCATCCTGTCCCTTCTAGAGCAAACACCCTTCTTTCCTCTATCCGCTCCTTCCTCTCTGCACATCTCCCTGCTTACTGACTACTCGTTCCAACAGGCAGCCGAGGTCTTGGCCGCGGACGCGTGGTCAGAGGGCTAACCTGAGTTCCGAGGGGGAACAAGAGGATGCGACAGAGCCCAGGACAACATGGCGGAGGAAGCGATGAAAGCCACGGACAGGATGAAAACACCAGTGCAGGGGGAAAAAACGGATCTAAAAATCACCTGTGGGCTGCAACGACACAGATGCCAGAAAAGCTTCCTTTGTGTTACAGCAGGCAAGGGAACCAAGGGTGCATATGCATATTTTCAGCGGCAGTAGGGAAGGCACGGTAGGACAGAAGCCAGATCATGCTGTGTAGTAAGAAGGAAGGGGACAGGTGAAGAAATGGTAGCCAGAGTCAGGAAGAGAAAGAGTGCAGAAACAGCCGGGCTGCTCATATGAAGGAGACAGGGAAGGTCAGCGGCGTCACCGGCCAGAGGCGCCGCAAGGGAAAGCCATGCACACGGACCATCTCGGCTGCGCTTCGTGCTCTTAAAGCAATTCCATGGCGGCCTCCGGAACACACACCGCACTGTGACCTACAGAGAAACACCGGCAGGGCGGCATGCTCACCTCATGGTGTATTCGCTGATACACTTTCTGCTCGTTGTCTAATACTACGAAAGATTCAGAGGGTGCCGCATCACCATTGAAAATGAAGCTTAAATCCCCTCGTTGGCACTTCATGTCAGTAAAGTCTATGAGAGTCGTGTTGAGCCTGTGAAAGAGCCGCAGGAAAGAAGCTGACAAATGCAGTTCTGAAGCAACTTCATGAGTGATTAAGTGTTTGTGTCTCCAAAACACACTAAGATGCTAATACTGTATTTCACACTTAAATTTATGTATAAAAGCACAATTTAAAATATTTTACTTAAAACTTACTTTAAAACATGTACGTTTCACTTTGTTAAATACGTACTTCATCAACCCAGTAAAAAACAAAATCCCCACTGTTAAAAACTCACCCTTACCTGACCTTTATTTCCAACCCTTACTGTAGCCACTCAGCACAAGCAACTTTCACAGGGAAGGTGGAAAAGGAAAGCCGCTCTGTCGTTCTTTGATCCCTTTAAGACCATGCTGCCGGCCCAGCAGAGCACTTCAGGTGAGAACAGAAGATATGGGCCACATCCTTGGATTCAGAACGGCCTTTCTGTCTAATCTGGGATCAAAGCTTATTTCATCCTTCAACCTGAGCAATCATAACCTACTGAAAGCTTGGCCTTCCTGTCCCACTTCCCAGATTCAGGCTAGCATTCTCTTTCCCAGACCACATCCCAGGCTCACAAGCCCTAGGGATCACTGTGCCAAGTACTGCTAAAGTCACACACGTATCTGTTCGTGGTGCCCTTAAAACCCCAGCCTGGCAAGGTCTAACCCAACGGGCTCGTTTCAGATAGAATTTCGTAAGTCATTACGAGCTGAAGTTAAGGAAAACACGAGAATAGAAAGGTTTACAAAGGGGTCAGGGATATAGCTCTGCGGCACAGTGCCTGCCTGGCAAGCATGAGCTCCTGAGTTCGATTCCCAGTGCAAAAGAAAGGATTACAACTACCCTAAGGTGCTTCAGCTTGTGCAAGCCTTCCTAGATGAGATCGGGTGCACCCTGGTGAACAGCAGCTGAAACACAGGGCTTAATCCAAGAGGCCACGAGGCTCCACTGGCACACACATCTATCCATCTGTGCAGATACACATCAGTACACAGTGAGGCCCATTACATAAGAATCCCAGTTACATATATGTAATGTATAAGTATGCCCATGTTATCAAGTGACAGATAAAAATAACAAAATAAAATTATGAAATGAGAAAAATCAGATCCAAACACCAGTACTAGCTATAAAAGGAATAGAACAAGAGGAAATTAAGTCAGCCTGTAAGTCTTCACTAGCGGACAGATGGCTGAATTGATGAACAGAGGGACACACGGATGGGTACACACGGAAGGGTATGGAAGAGATGGAGAAAGGGCCAGAACAGGGTCTTCCTTACGGTCTCCCTCTGACCTTAACAGATCTAGACTTTGAAAGTGACCATATGAAATCTCGTATTATATCACAGTTTCCACTCTGCCTACTATATATAGTTGAATAAAAATTGTATCTTTGTTTTAGTCAAGATTTTATGTCTCTGATACCCTATCTGTAATATATCTCAAATGAATGTATTTGAATACATTACAGGACTTAAGTTACTAAACACATATAAAACTGTGGCTACAAAAGAAAAATTCCCTCTAAATCTCAACTATCCTTTATTCAGAAGAAAAATAATTAAACCACCTTACCTGATATTGATACCTTGTTTGTATATTTTACATGCATCAGAAGGCAGAATTCGGGAAAGTAAAGGCACTGTATTTTAAAAAACAAAAGGCAAAAAATAACTACTTAAATTTTGCAACATTTATAAGCTTTTAAATTAAAAGAGTAATATAAAACACTTCACTAATTCACCAAATTAAAATCATTTCCTTTAAAACAATAGTTTTTCCACTTAAAAATAAACACAACATATAAAGCAGTTTTGAGCAACGTCAAGCGTCTACCCGTTAGCTGTAATTCCTGTACAAATGACTACACCCTCTGCTTACCCACACACAAGAATAGCAGAGTCAACGTAACACCACTCTGGGGACACAGCGCGTGACATTCAGATGAGAAAACAATACCGTGAGGTAACTAAACCCTCCTCACTGCATACACAGAGGGACCCAGGTCCAACCTGAGCCTTTCAGTACAACCTGGAAAAACGTCAGGAAAGGAATGTGTAACAGAGACAGCCTTGAAGTGAGAGCTGAGTCTCAGTTTGACCCCAAACATGTGCCTGAGCTGTGTGCTATACCTCAGTTTCAAAATGTGTAAAATGGACATCGTACTATTTACCTATCACTCTTCTCATGTTCTCTAACTCATATCCACATCACAACGTATATTCTGGTAGTTTTTAGGGTATTTACTACCATATTCTGACAAGCTACTTATTCTATGGATGAATAAATCTGAATCACAGGCTACAGTAAACTACCATACACACACAAAAGAAGCGAAGCTCAAACTTCTTGAATTTAAGGCTACATCAAAATATCACATGCATAAATAAGGGTGTGTATTACATGTATATATTACACATAGATCTTTTAAAATCCAGCGTTTATAAAAATGGGTGATAAACTGACCTAGAAAAAAAGTTTCATAGAAAATTGAAGGCTGTTTTTAAAAGACACTAAAGGAAAATTAAATGTGTTTTAGCTAACTTTTTCAAAAGTGTATTTTCTAGTTAACATATGCATCAATGTCTTTTTCATATCCTTAGAGAACATTTAATCCAAAATAATTTCCAACATCAAAGACTGTTTTCTAAACACTGTTAGTATAAAAATAAAAGTTTATTATCTGGAGGAAACATAAGTAATTACCCTAAGTCAAAGGATGTAAGAAATCATTTTCTTAAAACTTTTCCTTTTTTTGAACAAAAGTTGCGAACACCAGTCATAGTGCAAATCTATAAAGGATCACAGTTCTTCCTTCGTGCTTATTAATTAGGTCTGTCCGAAGTATGTAGTACAAAATAAAACAAAGATGATTAGAAGCAAACAACGAACACTACAACTAACCTCACTGAACTCATTACATGCCTTGAAGTAGTTATGATTATCTACGAAAACAAAATTTACTATCATATACTATCACCTAGCAAAAATCAGAATAGGAGGAAGATGGAAATGCAGACAGGAAACAAGTTGAGACTGAGGAGCAAAAATTAAGGAAAGAAAAAAAAGAAGTGAAATCATCAAGCCAAAAACAAAAGAAAGAAAAACTCTCCTAGATTTTAATATATTCTAAAAATACAGAAATAGACAGTCCCAATTCTCCAGTGACCTTCTCCTTCATATAAACTGAACAATTAACTTCTCAATATCTGAAGTTATCTCCTCCTAATCTAAGTCTCACACAGGATTCCAGCATAATTCCAGAGTGTTCCAGAAGTGGCATAATTCACTACACTGAAAATGAACAGATAGTTTTTAAATTTAATTTTTGGTTTTGCTACCACTTAGTCCCCAACTTTAAAAGTTGCTAGGTTTAATGTTTTTCATCTACAGTGTCAAAACAGTAGTCCTAGATACAGCATGAATATTCTGTGAATAACGAAACACAGAAATAAAAACTAGTTTTCCAGATAAACTATATTGTATATGCAATGCTAAATCTGAAGTAGCAAGCATAACAGCATAAATTATCTAACACTTTAACACAGAAATTATCTAACACTTTAACACAGAAATTATTCTTCAAAAACAAAAACAAAAAGGAAGGATCTCATTCACACACACCAAAAGGAGGTCAGCAAGAGATGGGGAAGTTACGCTCGGCCCACTTTAAAAATGAAGACACTAGAGTTCAGGAAGGGTAGTGATCTGCCATGCCAAAAAGTCAGGAACCACTACTCCTGGTATCTAAAACCCTGGGCTCAAATAATTCAACTGCCTTCAGACTTGCTATTAACTTTGAGGCTATCTTCTCCAAAGACAGAATACAAATAACAGCATAAGAAAGAGTAAAGGGAACTTCACAGCATCTCAAAAGGGAACTTCCTCTGATTCCAGTATTCCTTGCTTCCCTTTAGTCCTGGTTTGCCTCTTCTACTTTTGTTTTGGTGCTGGAGTTTGAACGCAGGGCCTCTACACTGAGCTCACGCACTCATCCCAACCTCCCCGCTTTTGAGGCGGAGTCTCGCTCAACTGTCCAGGAAGGGCTCAAACTTGCAGTTCTCCCCACTCTGCTTCCCAGGGCGCTGGGATTATAGGCCTGCACCTGTCTTGATGGGGGAAAACAATTCCGAAAGCTCAGTAAGAAGCGTATCATCGAACCTGGTAACGAAAGTCTCTGACAACAGATGCTTTAGTCGGAAGTATTTGGGCCCAGCAGACAGCAATCTCAGCACCAGCATACAGTTTATCAAAGCTTTGACATTAAATCGCTAAAATCACCTCAACAATGAAACAGATGTGCCGACATTTTTATGTCAAAATTAAATTCTCAAAGAAACACCTTTGACAAACACCTCATGAATTCGATTAAACAATGTGTACAGTGTATTTTTAACAACTGTAGATGCAAATACCATTCAGAAGTGATTAAATATCTTTATATCTCTTCACATAACTGAAATGTCATTTAAAACTTTTTATAACATTTTGTTCAAGAAGATAAACTGTTAGAATTTAATCCACTGACAATTATGAATCGAATCAGTTAAAGAGCCAACATTACTTAAGGGTAACGCAGTTTAGGACAACCAAGCAGGACTGGGCCTTTTATGTTTTTCCTGCGGTAGCAGACACCGAACCCAGGGCTCTGTGTGTGCTATGCAAACACTCTCCACTTAGCTCGTCCCCAGCTCTGGACTGGGATCTCTAAGAGCAGATCTTTACCTGAGATCAGTCTGACTTGGCGCTCCTGTTACCCAAAGCAGTGCTTTCCCTGTGCATTCCAGGACACCAAGACTTCTAAACGATACATGACGTACGAAGACAAGATAAGACCATCAGAGTAACTAGACCATGAATAATTCTGCTGAAGCAAAAACTAGCTCAGTGAGCTGGAGTTTAACCATGTGGGAAAGAACTACTCACATGAAGCATGTAAAACTCTGAATCTAAAGACGAGCACACTAGGAAAACCTGGTTCCTCCATGAAGTTTGACGCAATGTTCAAATTGTAAAGCACAGGTGAGCTAACGTGCTAAGATGCCTACAATTCAGAAAGTAAAAACGGCCACTTGCAGAATGGTAGAGCAGGGTAACCCCACGGGGACGGGCACTGGACGTGGGTATTTATCTGTATATACGTACACACACACTTTCAAAGCACTGAAAAGGGTTCCAACGTATTCACACGAGACTTAGCCGTGCCACTGGAAAGCAGCAACGGGAGAGTTTCTAGTACCTGATCATTTTCTATAATGTGCAAAACTTTTACAGTGAGTGCTCTACTACAAAATCGATGCAGTCCGAATACAAAACTGATATGAACCTATGAACTGTATTAGTCAAAGACTAACTAGGACACCAAAATCTGTAGCAGACCTTTAGAAGTGTATGCAAGTTGTAAGACCAGTTTTTAAAAATGCTGATAACTTTGTCACTTGAGGGAAGCTTGACTTGTACCCAAAAGCTCCAACGGGTGGCTGGGGGGCATTTGTTAAAAATACAATTAGGAGAAAACTTAGGTACTACTGGCTAAAAAAACCAAAAACTTTCTTTTCAAGGCAGAAGAAAATTACTAACTTTTAATATAATGCAGAGAAGTGTCAATGGGTGTCGGGTTACTGCTGTAAGTACTTTCTGAAAAGTCACCAAAAGATGAGGAAGAATTAAAAGAAAAGCGAAGCAGCATTAAGTAAAGTTTAAGCCAGAAAGCCTGCCAGGAACTGTATTCCTGTAGGCACACCGGCTGATTTGCATTTCCTAAGTGACAAGTTCAAGCTCAGTTTTCAAACCCAAGTGCATTTTGAGAATACCATACCTTCACTCAAGATTAATAAATACACAATGCAATCTGTTTCAAATCGTGATATTTATTGATCTCCCACAGGCATAAAGCTGGAATGTCCCTTACTTTCCTCATTTGGTAGGAACCAGAAACATCCACTTGTCACAGGTAAATATATATAAAATAATACAAAATAATGTATTATATATTAAATCTGTGTAATGAACTATAAACATAACACGTAATTACAACATATAGATACATATATTATAGCTCCTTAGAATTAGATAAAAAGCAATATACTTCAAATATTTAATATTTACTTTCTGTGGTTACTTGGAAGGATATCACTTGAGCATTCTAATAACTTTTATTAAAAATGTTATAATTCAGATGCCTCTAAAAACACTATAAAGTTTTATACTATAAAGTATAGTAAACTTAAGTTTACTATAAACAAATCTTTGTGGATTAGATTTTTTAAAATCTTTAATGAAAAAAAATTTCATTATTTAGTTACTAAAATAAAGGTCACTAACATTAAACTTCCTGTTTGGACATGTAGGTTTTCTCCCTAGCTCATTCATATCTCACAAAGCGAAGAAGCCAGGTATTGTGGACATGCCTGTAATCCCAGCTATTTGGGAGGCTAAAGCAAGACAGCAAGTTTAAGGTCAGCCCGGGGAACTTTGTGCCTTTTCTTTCCTTTTCCAAAAAAGGGAGAGAAAAAGGTGGTGGGGTGATGGTGGTTCAATCTTCCATACCATTTTTAAAAACTGGAGGGGGGTTCACCTTGCTACAGTAAATCTCCAAATGACTGTAAAGTATCTAGGTCAAAATTCACATCTTTCACAAATAACTGAAACAGTATACAAACAGTGTGTAAAGGCATTGGCTATAAAGTATGTAAGCAGCAAAACGATTGAAAGATGACAAAATATAATCAAATAGCACTAACCAAACTCTTCACATTCGGACATCTAAGTACTACATTTCCAGCTTTTCTTAAACAATCCAGTAATCCCACAATTCTCTTTTTTTCTGAAAATCCTTTCCATCATCATTTTAAGCCTACGATAATGTTTAAAAAAATTTTAATACAGTTCTCAAACTTGAGAATAAAAGTTGCTAACTTTCCTTAGAATAAGGATCAAACTTGTTATGTTAATGTATCTATATCAGCTTTTGACACTTGCATCTCTACATGAATATTTATTTTAGAGTAAAACAGCACACACTTACCCCAGCTTTGAAAATCCCAGTGGAGTTCTAGATAAAAGTCACCCAGCTGAAAAGTGAAATATAAATACTAAGAGCATCTTAGTTAACAGCTCATATACTTGCTTATTATTTTGTTTCTTAAAGAATATTACTGGCATATAGACAAGAATAGAAAAATAATAATAAATTTTAACATTCAGAGTCCGAGAAAGAATAAAATATAAAAATATAACAGTACATGCTAGTATAATTAATTACAAGGAAACATATGCACTCTGTAGGTTTAAAAACAACCTGTTAAACATATAACAATATATTTGAAACTGATAGGCATTTAATATTGTATAAACAAAAGTTCCATTTCTCAAAAGACAGCAAGGTAGCCTTTCATATTTGTAATAATGAAAAAAGGAAATGCGGATAGTAGACATTATGACAACCTAAACAAAATGAGGGGGGCACCTCTTTCTATGGGTCTTCAGATCTTTAATAAAACTAAATACATAAGCACGCCTAATTAAGAGAAGCCAGGCAGGTGTCACGCTGTCACTCGGTCAGGACGTTAGACGTCCTCACTTGGTCAGGAGGGCTGGTCTCCCAAAGCTCTTCAGGCCTCTGTCTTTCAGGATGAGAACAACAATCGGAAACAAGGATCTCTCCCTTTGGTGCCCGCACACCCGGCCCTCACCCCGAGGACAGGGCAAAGGGAATGCTTCTTCCAGGAAGAAAAGGCAAACTGCTGCCTGCGCACAGTAGCTTCAATTACTCGGGAACCTTCCATTTCAAAGGACAAAGGAGAGTTACTGCCATTAATTATGGCTTTTATCATTGACCCCTCTCTAATTTGTTACAAGTAATAAATCTGTATCTTCCTATTGAAAGAAAATGGGTGCGTCTACAAAGATTATGTTTACATATTATAATCACAGAACTCCGTTATTTCAATTAGTAGATAATTAACACTATGCTTAAAATATTCTTTAGCTGCAAAGTCAGCAAAGAAATATAGCCTACCTCTTTCAGGGCTTTTAATAATCGAGGTCGTTTTTCTTCAACACTTTCCCTGGATTGCTGCTTAAGCTTCCTTAAAAGAGCTGTAACTAAAATTTAAATTAGAAAAATAGTTAGCTGAAAGTTAATTTTTACCATGCTAGAAAACTGGCTTATTATACATGTAGGCAGATAATACATGTATCCATGTGTTTGTATGTACACACACATTCACATATATTTGGTCATATAGCTATAATTTCAATACATTTTAAAAAATCAAACATCAAAGAGCAATTTTTAATTACTGAAGGTCTCTGAATAGTGAAAGTTGAGACAAGTCTGGGAACATGGGATATACCATATATATATATATATATATATATATATATAAAAATATATAAATAAATATATATAAAACATATGTATATGGGCAGACGTGTGTGTGGAAGAGAGTAAATGAGGGGCTGGGCATTTAGCTCAGTGGCACAGCGCCTGCCTGGCAAGCACAAGGTCATGAGTTCGATTCCCGGTACCAGAAAAAAAAAAAAAAAAGTCTAGTAAAAGGGGTGTGATCTCCCCAAGAGATAACAGAAGAGCTATCCAAACATCAACACATATTCATGCACACTAGTTTTTCCTAGTTTTGAATTATGAGTAAGGGCTTACCTGCTTTTTAAGATTTCTCAATGATGCTATGCCCTATTACTATACTATCTCAAGGAAAATCTCAAAGACAGTACATCTCAAAAATCCTTTCAGACACTACTTTTCTGAAAGGGTGAGACTGCATGTCACTGTTCTCAGGTGTATCTATCTGCTTTTCCCCACTGGGGTCTGTACCCTCACGTGCCATTAACACAGTATAGAAGAAGATAAAAACAAGTCCTGCTGCATTTGTGAAGAGTTAGGAGAACCTGAAGCCCTCCACAGTAATTTCTCAGCCGTTATAAAATTAAGACTTAGATACTCGCCAAAATTTAATCCCTAGCTTTGCTACTTAGCAGTTACAAGTAAATTGGTCAAGTCACTTAATTTCCCGAAACTCTGGTTTATTTTTTCACTTTTCAAGTAAAAGTAAAAATCTACTATAGAGGATTATGGTAGATAATCAATATAAATTTCTTACTTTTGTGCCTATAATTAGGTAAATACAAGTTTTATCTACTAGAGTGAAGGTCTAAATTTGGCTTGCAAAAATCATCAGATTAACCCCTACTATATATCAAATTTAGGAAAATTATCAGACTTTAAAATAAGCCTAGCAAAACATAAAAAATTTCTGTGGGTGTGTTGTGCGTGTACATTAACACAGGCTAGTAGTGTCTTCCTGGTCCTGACCTTTTTTTCATACACATATATCGTCAGTGGGTTTTCTTTTCTTTTCTTTTTACTATTGTAACTACGTTATAGTATGCAGTTTTAGAAACCTTTCCAAGCTCCACGTGGAATACAGAAGTAGCAGGAGAATAAAAACAGGAGGAGGGGGAAGAGGAAAACAAGCACAAGGTGGGAGGGGAGGGAGGAGGAGGGGTGAAAGCACGGACCAGAATTTTGTCCACTTAGGCTGAATTAGGAAAAGCTCCCAAAAGAACATGAAAAATAGACCTACTTTTCTTTTTCAGCCACAAGTCTAACTGTGATATATCTTAAAAAGCCAGACATCAAAGAGCAGTGTTTACTGACAATCCCCTGAAACAGAAGCCGAGACGCAGAAGAAAGGGACAGGGCCTACTTCCAGCTGCACCAGGGGCAAGCTTCTCACCCAGATCAGTAGTTCACAAGGGCTAACCTACTCTGAGCGCCGAACTATTCAAGTTTCCCCCGACCTGCAAAATAATTTAGAAAAACTGGGAACTAGAATAAGTTCTTAATAAATTATATTTTTTTTCCAATTTAAGGCCAACTCTTCCCGTTGTTTCTGTTTTCAAATGTTTATTAAAATGAAATGTCAATCACAGAAAACAGTACTATTTAAATTCTTATAAACTAACAAGTTCACTTCCGTACATCAGTCCCCAAACTAAATTTCTTCTAGTCTATAAAATGTACGAATTCTGAGAACCAAAGATCTAGATAACCCTTGAGAGACTCACCGTTGTTCAAATCTGACTAACTTCCTGTTCGCTGTAATTTAACATCAAAGCTATATTGCTCAAATATAGTACGATTCCTTTCCTGGTTCTTTTCTATTAACAACTCCAATATCTTAATAAATATTTATTCAGTCTACTCTGCCTTTAAGTTGAAAGGGGCTTCCGCTGAATATAAGGAATGTAAAGAATTCAATTCCTAGACAGAAAAGGTCTCTCCAAAAAACAAAAAAAGCCAGATATTTTTCAGTAAACTAATGTAATTCCATCAGCTTACTACAACTATATCTGACTGAAAGTATTCAGTAAGCAATAGAAACTTATATGCTAATGAGCAAACTCATCAGACAGTGCCAGCTATGACAAGTACACGCACAGTAAGATACAGAGAAACCCCTACCCTGTAAGATTTCACTTTTAAAAAAGCAACAAATATAAATTTGCTCATGGAAGCACAAACATTCAGTGACACAAAACTACCAGTATTTCTGGTCCTGTATCGTAGGAATCTTACAGATTGGTAACGAATATAAAATCACGTTCAGGATTTAGGTACAGATTCATACAGAACTCCTTCTCCCACTGAAGTTTTCAGCTTATCCGGCGAAAGCTTTGAGCTGCGCTCCGCTGCACCGAAGACTCCTCACACCTCTGCCTCCGGCTCTGCCTCCTTCTCACCCTGGTGTGCTTCCCACTTCCCGTCCAGATGCACGGTGGCTGACTCAAGCCAGCAGACCCACAGGAGCTCACAGGGCCCGCGCCGCTCTTCCTCCTGGACGCTCAGGGGTGTTCCCGAGGTCACACTGACCCCCGCTGGAGGCCTTGGCTTCGGGGCGCTCCTGTCCCAGGACAAGACTCACGCCCTGTAAGGTCATCTCTTGTCAGCTCCCTCGCTTCCTTATCTTGTAATCTATCATTAAGTCAAACTTGCCTCACTTAGTAAAAAATATTCTTTTCTGAAAAATCGTTTCTGTTTTGACTGTTAATTAAGTCTTCTTACTGAGCTAGTAATGCCAATCCCTGCTCTCAAGTCCTCCTGGCGACGGGGGTGACGGGAGAGCATACCGACGCTGAGCTCGGGGCGGTGCCCTCCCCCCACTAGTTTTTGCCCACTCGGCCCGACTACCAAGCGCCCTCATCAGAAGCCACAGAGACACACACCGCTCCCTGCCACACACCGCCCTCCCTCACGGCGGCTCTGCGCGGCGCTACCACGCCACAATGTCTTCACTCATCCCGCCGACCGCCACGTCCTTCAGCGCTCCGCTCCAATAACCAAACGCCTTGCCAGGGCCTAATAAACTCCTCTGCCCCTAACCTGTTTCCCCCTGGTACTTGGTTAAACACTTCAGAATGCTGCAGAAAATTCACTAGTCTCCCCACCAGGCGGAAAGGGTTGCCCAGTGTCGCAGCTAAGGACACATCCTGAAGTACTGCACTGAGAGCACAGACACCCCGGCCCAAGGATCTTTGGGCCTCATGGGAGCGGCCGGCAGAGCTCCGCCCTAACACACAGGGAAGGCTTCCGGCACTTGAGCAGAGCGCTGATGGGCTGCAAGGAGCCAGGCAGACGTGGAGGGTGTGCAGATACGAGGAGCAGGGGAGATCCAAAGGCCAGTGGAGCGGCTGCACGGAAAGCCAGGTAGAGAGGACAAGCGAGGGTGGGGACAGAAAGCAACAGCGCCTCGCGTGCTGGAGCCTACAAGCCAGCCTGGAGGTCTCAGTCTTCATCCCAAGACAGGCGGTTTTAGAAGTTTAAACAGGAAAGTACTGTGATCAGAAAAGGAAATTAACATAGTAACACTGATTATCTTTGGGTGAAATTTTCTTTTTTATACTTTCCTAATTTCCTACAATGAACATTACTGCTAATAAGAAAAATAAATATAAAATTTTAAAAACTCAGAAGAGCTGAGTCCTAATATAAAACTTCAACCCATAATCCCAGTACCCAGGAGGCTGAGTCAGGAGGATTGCCACAAATTTGAGGCTAGCCTGGGCTACACAGTGAGTTCAAGGTCAACTGGGATACATAGCAAGACCTGTCTTTAAAAGCAAAACCAGCATGCCCAAATGCGGGGAGGCTGAGGCAAGAGGATCGTTGCGAGTTTGAGGCCAGCCTGGGCTACAAAGTGAGCTCAAGGTCAGCCTGAACTGCATAGTGAGACCCTGTCTCAAAAAGACAAAAAAAAAAAAAAAAAACAACAAAAAAAAAACAGATGTAAAAAAAAAAACTTTCAGAAAAAAATTAACACTCAGTAAACACTCTCCAGTTTTCTTGGCCATTTGTTTTTCAATACAGGGGCTGAACCATGGAGTATTTTACCACTAAGCTCCATCCCTAGCCCTTTTTACAAAATCTTCATTTTGAGACAGGGTCTCCTTAAACTGCCCAGGCTAGCACCGAACTTGTGAACCTCCTGCCTGCGTGTCCTGAGTGACTGGGACTACAGGTGTGCACCACCACATCTGGCTGCAGTTTTTAGTCATTTATTTGCCATTCATTGAACACTCTACCAAAAAGTTTAAAAAGTGAAGACAACATACTCATGCTTGAGTTCTCACAGAGCTTTTACCATCAAGATAGAGAGGAAGGAACACACATTAAGCAAGGAGTGGGTCACTCTGAAGATACGTGACAAGGAGAGATCACTGCAGTACTCCAGGAGCTGCGGAAAGGCTTTGCTCAGAAATAAAGATGAAGCCTAAATGAAGTTTGCCCACTGACTACGAGGCTGTAACCTACAGGCTAACAATTTCCCAAGCTGCGCTAACTGTGTTACATAAGCTCTACAAGTTCCCAACTCCAGAGACGCAAGGTGAGTAGGTCCCAGTGCTGATCAGAAACCAGAGCTGTCCCCATCTGAGGGAAGGTAGGGAGCAAGGAGAGACAGAAATTCAAAACAAACTCAAGTTGCGTCCAGCTCTCTCCTCGACGCTGTTTTGGGTCCCCCACTGTTCTCCAGGTAACCAGTGAGCAGCAGAAAACCAACATAATCTTGAAATTCAATTAATTTCAAGTAAAATGCTTCTAAGTAGTCTCTAACCAACAGTTTAGCACTGATTATTCTATTGCTCTAAAACAGTAACAAAATTATTAGCTATTAGATAAAAACCCCACACACAAATAGCTTTTACTAATAATCTGTACTAGAATATCTCTGATTTATCAAAAGGAATAATTTTAATGCCCAGAAAATTTTATTTTTTTTATTTTTTGGGTCTTTTTGAGACAGGGTCTCACTATGCAGTTCTGGCTGGTCTTGAACTCACTTTTGTAGCCCAGGCTGGCCTCAAACTCAAAATGATCCACCTGCCCCAGCTGCCAAGTGCTCGGATCACAGGCATGCGCCACCATACCCCGCCAGAAAATGTTAATGTATTTAAATGTATTTAATATACAGCTAAATATTCAAAGACTTTAAACCGTACGATTTAAAATATTTTCAAACTACAGAGATGACAAATGCCATGATAAATACATTTATATTAACACTTCTAAACATGTACCATAACCAGTTCAATTCGTTACCCTTGAAATTAGGAGTTAAATATTCTGTTTCACTGGTGGGAGGTAATGAAAAAAACAAGCGCTAAGTAACTATGGATACGTAAGTACGTAATGGTTGACAACGGGCATCTATCTCAGCCACCCTCCGAGTAAGGAAATCACTTCTGGACAGTCCTCAGCCAGGGAGGCCTCTTTTTTGCACTGAAATTTATTGTCAAATATCCTATTACTGATCTTCCCATGAAAATTTTGTCTCTTGGCCTCCACGATAGATTACAAATTCCTAAAGAGCAGAGACACCTTTATTCTGTGCATTTTAATACACACATATCCTTTATACATTCCTTTATTCTGAATCAAAGAATCTTGGCTGTCACAGAAGGGTCACTGTGGGTCAGAAACCTCAGAACGAATCCAGTTCCCCTCTGCTCTAACCCCTTAGAAAACCAAAGAAAGCCTCAGACCAAATGCTTCAACTTTATTCTTACTGTCTTTTAGTATACATCATTCTCTTTTTCCTGAAATAACCCTCTATTAGGACTATTTCTTATTTTCATAGAGTCTGCTAACGTTTGTCCTAAGAGGATGACTGTCAACACCCACCTACAATCCCAGCTACTCAGGAGGCTGAGACAGGAGGACTCTGGTTCAAGTCTAGCCTGAGCAGCTTAGTGAGGCCCTGGCGGTCTCCAAGAGAGACCAGGGCATGGGGTCAGGGCTACAGCTCAGCAGAATTCCCTGGCTCAACCCCCAACACCAGTAAAAATAAATAAATGCTCTCTCTTTCCCTCTCAATTTGGTATTTAAATTGTCACAATTTTATCTCATAATTTATGCCTACAAACAATTTCAACCTTAAAAATTATCCAAAAGATTCAAGAAGTCTGTGAAAATATAGTATGTTTTACATACAGACCTAAATCATAAAGAACTGTCCAGAAGAGCCCAAAATTTAGTATCAAAGTAAGACTAACCCCACATAACATCACGGGGTATTCAATGGTATACATTTAATAAAACTGCCGATGTTTCTTACTTCTTATACAAAAGCTACACTTAACTGACTGGTTTTGCTCTCCAACTATAAAAGGGTATTTCCAGACAGACAACATTCCCCTGAGATGTACTTGACATAGAGCAGGGAATGACATACTTGAACACTGTATGTTGTAAAAAACTGTGTTTTGAAAGTATGCATTTAAAGACCAAACTAGAAACAGTCTTGCTTCTGGCTTACAACAAAGCCTACACCCAGGAACTAAAGTAAGTAACTGTCAGATCTGTCAACAACTGTGACTTTTTTTTTTAATTTTGAGACAGGGTCTCACTAAATCACTAAGTTGCTCAGGTTGGGCTTGAATTTTATGGTCCTCCTGCCCCAGCCTCGCAGAGGCTGGGATTATAGGCACACAGTCACAATGCCCAGCAATTTTTCAGAATTCAAACTAGTGAGACATATGACGGCACACATCTGTGATCTCAGCATTCCAGAGGCTGAGGCAGGAGAATCACTGTGAGTTCAAGGCCAGCCTGAACTACACAGCAAGAACCTGACTCAAACAAACCCAAACTGATCAATCAATCAATAAAAAGAAAGGAAAAAAACAAAAGGAAAGGACAGTCAGTTGTCAACTTAAAAAGAAAGTCCTAATATTAGGGTAGAATGCTACAAAAGGAGAAAAAAAATTAACAGTGTCTTTTTAAACGTGATTCTTCCATTCTTTTTGTGTACAGTACTACTCAGTGCTGGATCCTCAGCCACAAGTCACCTACAGTTTAGGGGCAGCTGCGAAGGTTCCCAAGGAGCTAGACCAGCTCAACAGGACCACTTCCCTGCAGGCCCCCTCCGCACCAGCGCCCGCGCACTTACTCATCTGTCTGTCTCCGTAGCTGATGGCTTCCGCCAGAGGGCTCCATCCCTGAGCGTTTTTCACCTTTACTGGAGCGTTGTGAGCCAGAAGTAAGTGGGCACATTCTGTAACACAAAACAGCGAGGGCATCAGACACCACACAAGCTTTCGATCTCTAAATACAAGTGTCATGCAGAAGTTTAGCAAGACAATAATGCATGTACTTGTTAAACACTGTACCATATAATTACATAATTGTTAAAAATTCCTATGTTATTAAGTTAGACTATTTCAGACCTCCAGATTTCGAAGCATCCATTCTACTACCTAAAAATAAAGTGCATCGCTGCAAAGAATGTACTATGCTCCCTAACAACTGTCTCCAAGGCCATTCTCAGAGTATTTCCATTCTCTCACAGACAACCTGCAAACGTCAACAGCAATTTACACACGAATATCTCTAACTGAGAAGACCCAAGAGAGGGTCTGTGTGTCTGTAATATCAAAGGAAGCTCATTATTTATTTCAGAAAAAAAAAGATTTCAAAAAAATATCAATGTTTCCATAATTTTTAGCTGGAATAACACCCCAAAAGGGCAAACATAAGGACCAACATATAGTTTTCCAAATAATCAGAATTAAGTAATCTATAGGTTGAGAAAATTTTTTAAATTAAAAATTAGAAGTCCATTAACAAGCAAAAAGAAAATGTGGACAGTAAAGCACATACTCCTCAGTCTTTCACATAAGCACACTCATTAAATATTTACCAAGTGTTTACTTCCTGCCATTTCTAACTCCTAAGCACCAGATACAAGCAGTGAAGTGGGAGGATAACATCTCACTACCAAAGAGCTTATATCTGATGTTGGAAGAAATTAAGTAAATAAAAAAAAATAATAGAAGTAATCTAAAGGGAATAGAGATGTTATGACAGTGTGCTGGGTTAAGGGTGAAGAGGAATGGTTGTACTTTAGCACTATTCCTAGTGAGAGAAGGAAAACCTCCACTAGCAATGAACTTTACTGGCATAAAGTAAAACAGATACAGAAATTTCACAGATGTGTTTAAGCAAGTCTGTTAACACGGTAGTGCCGAAGAGTATGCAGAGTATGTTTATTTCAGGGTTGTTGGTAGTGGCAAACCTACTGAAAACAACGTTCACACATGTAGTAATAGACACACGTTGCATCTACGTTGCTGGAATAATACGCCACCTGTGTTTAAGAATAGCATCATTTCAAAAGGACCGTGGAGCCAGATACAACAGTCAGTCACTGACCAAATTTGAGACGACTTTTTGAAAAGTTTAGGCACAAAGTATAGAAAATTGGGGCACAATGTGCTCTATATCATAAAAGAGACATAACAACCAAATGCAACAAGTGAACTTCATTTGGGTGATACTGTAATATTAACTACCTAAAAAGACACTTCTGGAACAACTGCAGAAATATGAATATGCACCGGCTATCAGATGACATTATAACAATACTATTAATATTCTTCAGTTTAATAATAACGTAATTATGAAGAACATCCTTATTTCTACATGCTGGCGTATGTTGCGGTGAAATGTCGTATCTCTGTCCTTTTTTCTTTTTTTTGAGATAGGGTCTCACTATGTAGCCTAGGCTGGCCTCTAACTCATGGTAATCCTCCTGCCTAAGTGTCCCAAGTGCTGGGATGACAGGAATGCACCACCACGCCTGTCTAATGTCTACACTTTTTAAATTGTACAGGAAAAAAATAACAAAATATACACAGATAAGAAGATAACATAAATATGATCTAGTACTACCATAATCAAGCCTATTTGATGGGTATGAGTATTCACCAATATAATCTTTCAATTTTTCTATATAAAGTTTATAATAAAATGTTGAATAAAAAAAGGAATAGAAATTTTTTTTAAATATCAAAAAAGAAATGCATTAGAACTATCCCAAGATATTTAAAGGAGCTGTCAATGTATACTGCATACAACATATCTACCAAAAGCAGAAATGTATCCTCTCATTTTTTAAAGAAATGACTAAAGAATTTATCACATACATGAGCATGTGTCTTCAGACAAAGATGCACATATTTGTATATAATTAGCACGGCTGAGAGCTGGAAGAACATTCAACAAGTTCTATCATCAGTCATCATGTCTACGAGGAGAACATGATTAGTAAAAATGGACAGCCAAGCTACAAAGATTTTTTTTTAAAGAGAACTAAAAACAAACCCTCTCCCCAAAAACTGTACCAGTGGGTTTTCAGAAAGCATACACATGTGTGTGCATGCATAAATGAAGGGAAGGCAGGCACGGAAGAAATCTAAGGACGTCCAGGGCGATTTCACAGGAGACCTATGAGTGAAAAGGAAAACGTGGCGAAGTGCTATGTGCTGTAATTCTGCTCCAGAATACAAACTAAGCCCCTCCATTAAGAGGAAGGAGTAAGGTATGAAAGGGTATCCCCAGGTTGTCAGCGCTGACCGCACCAGAAAGGGAAGTGGAGAGATGATGCTCTTCTTTCTTTTTACACTGTGTTATTTCACTTGTCTCAATATGTGCATACTAATAACGAAAGAATCATTCGCAATTTTTTTAAAATTTAAAAATACTAAAAGGCAGGATCCACAAGAGCACTGTTCTATCTAAAGCAACATCCTGGCTGTACAGGTGCTAGTATGAGGCCGAGGTACTGGCGCATGCTAACTGTTTTCTGACAGGCCACGGAACCTCAAGAACAGGTGCCCGCTACTCACCCGCATAATTCAACTGAAGCAGAGATGAGCCACTAGCAAAATCCGATACCCACCGCTATGCCAATCACCCGGCATATACGCTTATACACGGAAAACAGAAAACTGGATCAACTGAATGTTTGCTCTCAGTAATGTTGAAAATGAGTAATAAGAAAACCAGGCAGATTAACAGCTGGGCACTAAGGTTTAACGAATGCATAAACATGCCACGAAGAAGTAAGGACTTGAGGACTATGGACAAACTGAAATCATGAACAATAAAAAATCACACATAAATAAGCAAGTGCTGTAAAGGTGGTAAAATACAGAGTAGATTGCTGGGTGTGGTGGCCCATGCCTACAATCCCAGCACTCAGGAGGCTAAGGCAGGACTGTCCTGAGTTCAAAGGTAGTCTGGGCTACATAGTGAGACCCTGTCTCAAAACATACACACACACACACACACACACACACGATGGGGTAAATAGGATAATTGGGAATGTAATAGCCATCCACAGATCTTCATGAGACTGAGAATCAAACTAATTCTACACAAATTTCAAGGAAAAAATTAAAAACTGCACCAAAGACTAGGAATGAATTAAAAGTTGGAGTAACTAAGTTAAAGAAACCTTCTCTTACGTTTCTAACCTAAAAAATGAGAAGTAAAGATTTACTTTTGATTACACCTCCTAAAGATTTATAATCTTCCTTATTTAAGTAATTTTTCATTTCCATGTAAATCTACATTTAAAAATCACCAGGTAATATGCTAACTTCTGTCAATGGACCCAAAAATTTAAAAACAAAAATCAGATTTCAGTGAAATAGTTATTCAATAGGTTAAAATGAATTATAAGCCTGGGTATAGGGGCACATGCCTGTAACCCCAGCACTTGGGAGGCTGAGACAGGAGGATTGCCACAATTTGAGGCCAACCTGGGTTACATAGTGAGTGCAAGGCCAGCCTGGACAACATTGTGAGACCCTACCTCAACAAAACAAAGCAAAGCAAAACAAAACACATGAGTGAGAAAAAGGACTAAATGAAAGTCCTAAGGTATCTATCTCCCTCTCCCTTGTCTTCAAACAACAATTAGCATGTCAATGCTCCAGGAAATTTCTATCATGTTTACCAACAAATACGCAAACAGAAAGTGTCCTTCAACAATGAAGTCACTAAAGCAGGATCCCATAAGATAAAAGGTCACAGACTGAACACCAGTGCAATATAAAAGCAATTCACAGAATCACACATAAAGCACGTCTTCTCTCTTCTACACCTTTCAACACACTCTCCTATAACCCAATACCAAAAACATAAAAAAGCCCCTAGAAAAGGGGGGCTCTGGATTGGGAAATGTAAATGGGTTTGCACAGTTCACAAGGAAGACCCTAGCAGAACAGAAATCCAAGTGTCTCCTGCAATACATTTCCACCGAACTCCTCCCTCTTCCTTCGAGGTAACTGTGAAAGAGGCCCAAGACCAGCTAACTATGGGGAGCCCTGCCTACCTCAACTCAGTACCTGCCCCACACAGGCCTCCACAAGACACACTGGCACATCAAATTCTATTGCTTAACTTTTATTCACCTGACATTTTTCAAACTGACAAAACCCTGAAACTTTTAATTTCCTCTAACTACCTACCCACAAGTCATTAAAGTAATGCTTTATGAAATACTACATTTTGGAATAGGCTGATACATAACAGAATATCCGTTTAAATGACAATGCCTATACCTGAGGTGGCAGAGGGTCGGTTCACCTCAGACCCCGGTAAATCCACACGGCCTGCTCATGGGCTGACTTTGGAAAGACCCAGACCAGCAACGAGACCCAGAAAGCTGCATGCGAGCCCCTCCAACACAGACCACACCCCAGAGGGACACTTCGGCGAGAAAGAACAGGACCCCGGACAAGCTAGGACAAGCAAGGCAGGACACCAGACGTCGAGCTTCTGCAGCCACGTGCTCCAAGTTAAAACCAAATCTCTGCTACCTTACAGCAATCGAATTGCTCATTCTTAGGGCGGTTTCTCACGGGAGAACAGGGATAACAGCACACTGCTTCAGGAATGAGTTACATGAAGAAATACATGTAAAGCACTCGGAGAAGCATTTGGACTATTATGAATGATCGCTATGTTCTGCAGTTCTACAGTTCTGACACCATGTTCTTGGGGGTCAGGGAAAGCTTGAGTCGTTCACTGACCAAATTCAGTGGCTCCATCTGCTATGTTCTCACCCAGGAAGCTTCTCGAGAGCCAGTGGTCTCTTGTGGCTGCTCACCCACTCTCCACCACCTCCCTCCCCCCTGCTGCTCTGGACCCGCCTCCCACCAACGCCCACTCCAAGGCAGCCTCGGCAAAGCAAAGTGCGGGTGAGGA